AAGCTTTTTCAGTCGAGAATGTAGTAGTTTAGATTACTACGATGCGGTTTATTTATAAGGATAGTGCCTATGTTAAATATTTATAAATTCAGAACATCGGATTCAGTGCTTCAGCTGCCATCAGCCTGTCTGAGCAGACCAAAGAAAGTGACGGTTGACAGTCCGCCACAAGATGACGACAGAAACCGCAAAATAAGTCCGTGAGGGTGAAAACCAGCATTTTCTCAGCGTTTCTTTCAAACTACAGCAGAGCAAATCATTATAAATCAGGTAAGTGACATTCTAAGTCGATCTCTCTCTTTTGTATGCTGTATTGCTGTATTTATACAACAGAAACTGGTAGTGTTTGCTTTGCTCTGGCTTTTTCAGGGTTAATTACTGTGAAATCCTGATTGCAACAGAGAAATACTGGGAAATCTCTGTAGACTGATGGCATTTCATGCCGTTCAGCCTTATATTCTTAAATTGTCAGCAAAATCACCTGTTTTGTCATGACTTTAGACATTACGCTAGAGAATCATTCAAACATTAGCTCTAAACTGACATTTGAGAAGTAGCAACGGTTTCTGCTGTTCTGCCATCAGCTGCACATGTGAATGAATGGCGGAAGAAAGTAGTTCCTAATACAAAAGGGTTTTTGAGACTCTCTGTGTTTGATTTTTTTTTAATATACACAATTATGCCATCAAACTGTTGTATAAACACACTGGTGGGGACACTAAATAATAAAATTACTGGTGGGGACACTAAGTACGCCTGCCACCAGTGCTGATATACAGCCACATGGCACAGCTACTCATGTGATATTGCTCATATATACATAACAAGATATAAATACATATCACGATATCCCAAATGCCTTAATTTTCTTATTTTTATTCATTTCACAAAAAGCTTAAAATAGTGCTTTAAAAAAGTAAAATAAAGTAGATGCTAATGGTCTAATCCTATTCAGTGATCTATGCTAAGCTAAGCTAAATGTGCTCCTGCCAGACACGGAGTTTCCCTGAATGGATTCAAAACCGGTAAAACTCAACTGTTTAACTCCAGGAGACTTATAAAATGAGAGCTCATTTCCAAAAACAATATTCCTTTAGGGACAGTGGCCCTCCAGAATTGAATGGTCTTATCCCGATTCTAACTTGATCAGACTAAATTAAACTTGTAGTGTGAAATGTACTTATGAATGAGTGCGAGCCTCACCGTGGAGAGCTGGACATGAGCATTTTGAGGGAAGTGAGGTCTCCGCTGGCTGCAGCGTAATGTACAGGTCGAGCTCCGCAGTCGGTCTCTGCCTCTGTGTTACCACCTTCAAACAGCAGCCACTGCACTGCCTCCGCATGGCCAAACCTGGCAGCCAGATGCAGAGCAGTCGCCCCCTCGCCATCACGATCCTGTAGGCCAAAGCAAAGACACATGTCAGCCTGCAATACCCAGTTTGAATAGCTCTGAATTATGAGCATAGTAAGTAGCACATCACAATGACCTTTCGATACCATGATGAGCTATTATGCTGTCAGTGATATTAATAAAAGAGATGCTTCTTTGCTTACAGTGTCCATCCATCATCGATGACCTGTGTAATTGACAGTGACACAGCAGACCGTACTCAAGAATGTCATCAATTCAGCTGTCAAATGAAATTTTTCTCTCGATATGTCACACCGCTCACCTCAATCCCACACGTCTCCTGTTTCAGCAGCCACTGCAGCTCTCGGATATGCCCGGTGGCAGCAGCATCATGGGCAGCTGTTGCTCCGTTCTTCGTTCGGGTGTTGCATTGGAAATAACCTTCATGTACCAGAAACTCCAAGCAGTCCAGTTGTCCATTTCGGGCAGCATGATGTACAGGTGAGGCTCCTTGGGCATCAGTGATAGTTGGACTGAGGCATCCAGACACATGCAGGGCCCTCAGAGCCTCCACATCCCCCTCTCGAGCGGCCTGAATGGCTTTATGTAGAACCATGTTAGACCTAGAATGGTCAGAAAAAAAGTGGCAGGGGTCCTTGGGCTGCACCCAGCTTTCTGTCTCTCTTGCTCGCTCTCTAAAAAGATACCTGAGCTTGCTGACAGATGCGCATGGGAGAGATGAAGGGGGTGGATAAGCACCGAGCCAGAAATGTAACGAGAGCCTTCATGCGAAAATATACATCTGCTGTTATTCCCAGATCCAGTAACAATGTATTACTTTGAAAAGTTAGAAAGAGAATGGTAGATATTTTCAACTAAAATGCCTAATTGATGTTCTCAAATGATTTAAGAATTATTCATTTATTCATTTTCTTTTCGGCTCAGTTCCTTTATTAATCAGGGGTCGCCACAGCGGAATGAACTGCCAGCTTATCCAGCATATGTTTTACCCAACGGATGCCCTTTCAGCTGCAACCCAGCACTGGATAACATCCATACACTGTTGCATTCACATTCATTCTCTTTGGCCAATTTAGCTTATTCAATTCACCGATAGCGCATGTCTTTGGACTGTGGGAGAAACTGGACCACCCGGAGGAAACCTGGGAGAACATGCAAACTCCACACAGAAATCCCAACTGACCCAGCCGGTTCTTGCTGTGAGGTGACATCGCTACCCACAGCACCACCGATGTAGGTATAATCGTGTTTTAAATTGATGATTAAATTGCTGATTTAGAAGGTGATTTACTTCTTTACTGAGTAAGCACTAAATACAGTACAGTAAGAGGTTTGATTGCAGATCTGTTACAACTCATTTTAAATAACTATTGTACATCATATAGATCTAAGATATCTAAATCGGGACTCACAAGCCAAATTTTGGCCTAGCTTTTTTTTTTAAAGAGGTTTAGAGGTTTTCTTTTTATTATTCATTGGTTTACATGGATTCTTGAACTAGCTTTGGATTTGAAACATGGTGTGAACATAGCATGTACAATTTGGCAAGTTTTACCCCAGCAAATATTTTTTTAAAAAAGATGTCTAATAGAGATCTAAACTTACAGTAGACATCCTAGTGAATTTCAAATTGATGCCTAACAATATTACACAAACAGACCAGACAAATGTAGCCTTACTTTTGCCAAGGTGTCTGTTTGGATGTCAATTAGAGATCTTTTAATGCACGCACACAAAATTCTTGCTGGAATGCCCAACCATCCTAAATTAGTTTATTTTCATGGTCTACTTTAGATGTTCTGTTAACTTTGCAAGTGCATATCTAACATATTATATTATATATATTAACATACTAACTCAAACTGACAGTGCATTCTGCAATATTCCACAAACAGTACCCTATAATGACAATGTGGAAGAAGTTTGTTTGAAATCTTGGCAGATTTAAAAGCTCAGGAGCATCCTTTTTTCCACTGATCATCGTTAAGATGTTTCTGCAACTTGAAATTGTCCGCTTGTGGTTAATTCAGTTTAATGGACATGATTTGAAAATGCACAAATCTGTCTCTACACAGTTTCACATTTACAGAGCATATCAAGTCAAGCCATGAAGTACAAGCAGTTCTCTGTAGAGACAGGATTGTATCAAGGCAACTATCTTTGCGGAAATCCACCAATCAGACCTCCTCTGTAAAAGGCCTGTATTGAAAACAAAAATCACTGATCTGATGAAGCCAAGATTGACCACCTGGCCAATATTCAATTAAATTCATCTTTATTTCTATAGCGCATTTACAATGTAGATTGTGTCAAAGCAGCTTAGCATAGAAATTCTAGTAAATTGAAAATGTGTCAGTCCAGTTTTCAGAGTTGAAGTTTAGTTTAGTTCATTTTAGCGTGGTTTAATTTACACTGATGAAAGTCCAAACACTGAAGAGCAAATCCATTGATGCGCAGCTCCACAAGCCAAAACCAAGAGAGCCAGTGGTGACAGCGGCGAGGAAAAAACTTCACCAATTGACGAAGTGAAAAAACAAAAACAAAAACATTACTACAGTAAAGCATGATGGTGGCAGCATCATGCTGCGGGATGTTTTTCAATGGAAAAACTGAGAAACAAGTCAGTATTAAGGGAAAAGCGAATGCAGTAATGTACAGATGAATGTAGTGATGTACATTATAGCTTCAGAGCTCTCTGGACCTCAGATTGTGGTGACGGTTCATCTTTTAGTCAAAATAACAAAGTGGTGGCTATGGGACACCTTTCTGAATGTCGTTGAGTGGCCCAGCCCGAGCCCAGACCTAAACCCAATTGATTGGGGAATGCCATTCCCCATCAAACCTAAAAGAACTTTACATGTACTGAAAAAGAGAATGGGGGAAACTGCCAGTTTGATCCAAGCTCGAAGCAGGTTGGGTGGTGTAGGACAGGCAGAGTTACATTGGTGCCATGACGTGGATGGGAGTGAGGTTTAGGGGGGTGAGTGTAGCAGAGGCCAGCAATGAAGTACTGTGCAGGTAAACCTCACTCCTCTAAACCAGAAAAGGTGCTCTAGCGACAGACGCTAGAGGCCATGGTCTTTAGCTTCCTTGTTAGAGCAACCAACTCCCATGCGGAGAGTAACCGGTTTGATCCCAGCCTGGAGTGGATTTGGTTTTGTAGGACCGGTGGGGTTACATTGGTGCCGTGACCCGGATGGGAATTAGGTTGGTGGGGTGTAACAGAGGTCAGCTAGTAAAGTGCTGTGCTATATATATATATATATACAAACTTCATTCATGTTGTCTTTACTGGATATTCTTCTTATAGTTTTAAGAAAAATTAAAGACTTTTAAAGAACATGAAACAAATGGCTCACTGAAAAACATGTAGAATTCAATCAATCATGCACTTGCAAAAAAAAAAAAAAAAAGTAACATGAAAATAAAGTTTTAGCTGCTTTAGAGTATTAATTACCATATAGTTGCAGAGTTACTGCTAAGTTAAACTGCTTATGATCAAAACCTGAAATTTCGTGCATCACAATTTGCTAAGTTTACTCTTACTAATGCCATCCAACATGCAGGCGATTTTTCTTCAGCACAAGAGTTTTAACTGAAACCACAAAGAAAAGAAGTCGAGACTCAAGAACATTGCGCGTATTTCACATTTATTTCACACCTGACAAAGTGTTAAGTGTCCACAGACATTAGAAGACACAGTTCCAACACTCAAAGAACTTGAGCACTGAATACACTACAGCCCATTCATTATGGTATAAAGTGGTTACTGCTGTGTGCTAGACCACAGTTGGGTTTATATACAGAGCAAATCAACAGAAATATAGAAGCAATTACAGTAGGTACACTTAGTTTATATTGACGTCCTTTTTTAAATCTGAAATATTCATATGGATGAAAGATGTTCGTTGGAAAAGATGTATGGCGAGTGGCAACACAAAGAGTGAAAGAGAGAAAAAGAGTCACATTATCAACTACAAACCCTAAAAATCTCATTTATCTGCATTATATATGTACTGTAGGTTGACAAAGTCCTGGTAAATGCTTTGTTTTTTTAGGGCACGTGTCAATGCGAACACTACATGCTCATAGTCGACTGTGATCCTTCAGTTCAGTAAAATAATACGACTGAATCTATTATTTTCTTGTAAATGCTACTCTTATACTTTAAGGAGGTAAATGAGATACATTTCATTTAAAAGCTGAATAAATATGTACAGCATGCTATCATATACATAGCATTGTCAAAAGACAGAAATGGATTTTAAAACATCAGGGCACTGGGAGGTATGACTGTCAACGTTAATGTCCAAAACTGAAAGATTTCTCCTTAAATTACATTTCAGATCCATGTTCAGAGTGAGAGTCTTCTACTGCTGCATATGAAGAAACCAAAGTTGAGAGGTAAACAAACACCACAACTGCTGAAATGTCTTAGAAAGTACGCTCATTATTAAATATCACTGCTTTGTTTGTGCTCTTTGGGTTGGCTGGCCCATTGCACATAACACCAATCCTCAATCAGCATGAGCAACATGCTAAACGGCTGACTGACCAATAGCATGAGCTCAAATCAAACCAAGTAAGAGATTTATGAATTCAGCAGCAAATGGTGCTTTTCTATACTTACTGTAGGTCTTTATACAGTAGTTACACAGCAAAGAGTAATGAAAACAGGTCTATTTCAATACGCTGAGACATCTCTCTAAAAAAGTTTACCTATTATATAGGGAGACACAAAACGTTTGGTAAAAGACTTCTTGTTATATGTAACTGGATCTTCTCTAACACTACATCATCTCATTGCCATCTCACAAGGAAAACACCATGTTGGAGGACTGAATACAGAGTTTATATTGTAACATGTAGAAATGGTTTGGAATTACTTAAATATAGCAGCTACATTGAGGAACTACACTCTTCAAAATAAAAGTTCAGCAGGAGGCCATTTTGGATTCCTGTAAATTCTGTGTGAAGCAGACGTTGGTGAGACTTTTATTTCAGCATATTGATGTACTTCCAGCTGAAACGGAATCTGCTTGTTAAGTGTGACGTCACGCAAAGTGGCTTCCGGGTCTATGCGCAATATCAAACTGTATCAAATGGTAATAATAAACGTTTACTAAGCCAGCGGTTCCCAACAGGGGGGTCCCGGCCCACAAGGGGGCCTCAGTGAGCTTTGTGGGGGGTCGTATCATATTTAAAAACCTCTTAGCAGTGTGCAATTAGGAGAATGATCATGTTGCTTTAGCTCATTTTATTCCCTAACTCAGTGGTCCTCAACCATCAGTCGGTGGATCAATTGGCACCGGACTCCACAAGAAATCATTAACTGAACAATCTTTTATTTTGAAAAAATGACCGTATTCTCTCGTTTACATTTTCGGTCCGTTTAGCACCCAAATTTAACCCAAAAGCAGCAAAATGAGTAAGCAACAGACATCTTTGGAAAGTTTCTTTGCCAAAGGGGAAAAGGCCAAGTGAAGAAACTGCCAAGGAATGGATCTGCAACCCATTTGTCAACAAATCAGGTGAATTCAGCATGTTTGTGCAAGAAGATCAACTGATGGAGATCACAAATGACGGCGGCCTTTCAGGGGCGGTTCACATTTTTCGTATTTCTAGAGTTTGTACAAGTTTGTTTTTTTCCAATGGAGGTGCGCGGCTGAGATATTTTACTTTAAATACCATGTAAAGGACTTATTATTTACCATAAAAGTGAAATTACTGAACCTACACACAGGAGTCTAATAAAAGTGCAAACAGCGTTTAGGTTTTGGTATCTGAACACTTCATGTGTATATCCAGGCAATGGGTTATATGCACACAGACTTTTAATTTTAGCCAGCCAGCATAAGTGCTTCCAGTAAAGTCTTTCCATTAGAAAATGGCCACATTTAAGGTCTAATTTCTTTAAAAATCAGTGATCTTCACTGCCTGATTGATAAACGATATTAAGTGGGCCTCAGACCAGACAAGAAGCACAGCATTAAATTTCATTTGCCCCGCCATGTGTTTAAAGTATGATAAAAAATGGTTTATTTTACCCCAATATTTTACCCCAATATTTTTAAAGGAGTTTCTGTGCTCGCCTGCTGATCCTGACACCGCTAGCACAGTCTTCCATCTCGTTTTGCGCTTGAACAACTAAATGAATGCTTAAGTCTATTTAACTGAATGCATTGTAATAACATTACAAAATCGAAGCTGGAAAAGAAACCTTATGAAGCGGAAAATATTCACATTATGCTTCATCAGTGGCTGAAAAACACTTGCTGTGCATATAACCCATTTACGTCATTCTGAACTCAGAGCCATCATTCTGAACAGCAGGTCAAATATTGTACACTTACTTTTTGGCTCAAACTGATTATATTTTAGGGTGAACTTACATAAAACTTTATTTTGAAGAGTGTAGATGCAGATTTTCTGAACCTAAACCTCCAGCATTTCAAATGACATCTTTATTAATTCAAAAGTTTAAAATGTACTCTGATGTATGTGTTAAGTGTAAGTTCAGCATCAAAGCGTACTAATTTTGTGCGTGAAAATAAGCAGATGAAAAGTAATAAATAAATAAAAAACCACCAAATAAGCTGATTCTCTTAGCAGCAGAGCTCTTGTGCAAACGAATCAAAACACATCTGCTAAATAAAGCTCATTATCAAAAGTGCAAGGTGAGAAATTATTTTTGTAGCGTACTACAAATAGTGGACTCATGTTTATAAAACATACAATGCTTAATAAATAAGTGTAACGTAAAAGATGTAATGTAAAAAAAGACATTACTAATGGAAATTAAAACACAATTAAACCTCTGTAAATGGCAGATGGTTTTTGATGAAACATTAGACAGTTACCTCTTTCAGTCTAAAATCCATCACCATGTCCACTGCATAAAAGGCCATCTGCAAATTAGCTCCCTTCAAAAAGTATAATGATCAAAACCAAGAGGCAACAACCGAGCCAGGTAAAAGCACTTGAAATCTACTCTGCAGAAGCACACACACAAACAGATCATTGAGTCGCATTTACAAATGAATGAATGACTTTAAAGGGATAGTTCACCCAAAAATGTACATCTACACACTATTTACTCACACTTAAAAGACAAAAGAAGATATTATTAAGAATGTTTTGTATTTATTTTTCCCTCAAACATCTTCTTTTATGTTCAAGGGTGACGTTTTTAGGTGAACTGTTCCTTTAAGAGTGGGGTTTTGTGTCTAAGAAGCTGTTTTGCCATTCTAGCTATGTGAGTGGGAAGTGCAGTATATTTCGATAGTATATTATGAACGTACACTAAATAGGGCCTGACACACACACATAAACTCACACTCACAGTCTGTGGTTGGCATGGACAGACGGGCAGGGCAGGCAAGAGGCAGCTGTGATGACATGGGGATTGGGCACTTATGATCACATGACCTAATTACACCACAACGGCCTGTTAGCTATCTGTTTATGGATTGAGCCAGAGGGAGAAAAAAACAGGTTCACATCCTCATCTGTCCTGATTTTCTTCTGGAAAGCTTAGACCTGTGGGTAAAAAGAAAGAGGTTTGGTCAACTTTTGTGTGAATACGTTCTACAGTATAACTTATATAACATACAGCAGGGAAAATAAGAACTAACATGTCATGTCTTTTCCTGAACTACTAAAATGTATTTAATACTTTATATAAAAGGCTTTATTGGTGATGACAGCTTAAAGTGGACTCTGTAAAAATCTTGATGGTTCTGTGGGTCTCGTCTATCAAATCTGATTTTTAATTTGTATTTTATATTGGATTTAAGTCAGTTGATTGACTGGGCCATTCTACAGCTTGATTTTCTTTCTCTGAAAGAATTTGAAAATTTCCTTGGCTGTTTTGGATCATTGTTTTGCTAAAATGACCACTCTGGTTTCATATTCTTCATTCTAATAATGTGAATGTTGGACTGAAGCACCTAATATTTATTTACAATGATAAAGGGCAGGGTGTTGCTGAATAAGTACTAAGAGATTTCAGCTGCTGTCTGGGCTTTCGCTGCTTTTCTACACCTCCCTTTCTTTGCATGTTTAATATTTTTTTTCCTGCTTTAGGTTATTTAATTACACATAACTTCATTTGTAAACTAATTTATAAAGTTTTCTTTGCATATATGGATTTCTTTAGTTATTACCAACATTCGGGGAAATTTTCAAGTCAACAGCACGTTTAGAAATATGTTTTCTGAGAAAAATAGTGACATGTTCAATACTTATTTTCCCCGCTCTATGTTGTCATGAATTATTGATCAAATATTTTTACAGTGCTTGTTTCAGACATTTTGGTGCAATTGATTGTATTACAGGAAATTACATAAGTGACAACTCTGTAGTGGCTGAATTGTCTTTTATAGTTACATGAACAGACAAGAAAACCAATCTTATTATATCCTCTTGAAAAGAGACATTTTTATCTAATCAGCTGTTTGAACGAATCAGCTAACAAGCCATGTATTTTTTATTGCCACCACGTTATTATAATAGATTGTCATATTCAAACACTTGTGAGAAAAAGAAAAAAAAGATAAATTTCATCTTATGTATATGTACTGCATATTATACTGTATATGTCATAGGTATAAAGTAATGTGTGCTTATGTTTTTTGTGTTTTTTATCTATTTTACATTAAGCATTGTGTACTATTAGATATCTTAATTTCCTTCGCTATTATTAATGTAGCGGACTAACAATCAATCTGGACATGAAGAACGTTGGTACATCCTTTGAGGGCATCTTAAGTATAGGATTTCTGCAGGTTTCTTCAAGTCAAATTTAAGGCTTTTTTAGACCCTTTAAGACCATTATGAATGAAATTTTAGATAGTGCTAAACACTAAGGTGTTTTTCCTATTTCTGTAATAGGATATATATATATATATATATATATATATATATATTAAAAGAAAAGGTTTTAACATGGATTATTTGTTATTGTGTGTTGGCTCGATTGGGTAGCTTTTCTTGAAAATAGGAAAATTAAGACCTGTTTACATTATTTAAGATTTAACACTTTTTTTTAGCAAATTTAAGACTTTTTAAGGCCTACATTTTTATTTTTGAAATTTAGGACATTTTAAGAATTTTTACAGTGCTCAGAATATATAAGTACAGTACTTAAGTAAAATGAAAAATTAAAAATTTTGCTGAAATTTTGTAGGTTGTAATTTATTTTTGCAATATTTTGTTTGACTTTTATTGTATTATGACTTTTATTGTATTGTATTATTTATCTTTTCATTTCTTAATATGTTTGGTGACTAAAATATTATTTTAATAAATAAATCTTTTTAATAAATCTGTTTTGTTTAAATGCACCAAAAACCATTGCCTATATTCACTGAGAAATGGAAAAAATATTCATTTTCAAAATAGGGTGTACTCAATTATGCTGAGCACTGTACAACCCCGCAGATATCCTGTAAATAAGACAGCTGCATATTCAATAAATCCTGCACTACAAAACCTACAAATTCAAAATTGATTTGGCATACCTGATAGTTCCTGCCAGCAGTGGGTTGAACGCGTACAGCCAGTCATGCATCTCTTTGTCATTTGTGGCCTGGAGGAGGATGTTGCGGTGCTCAGTGCACACTGTGAAAGTGTTAGGAGCCTGAAAACAAAACAACGCTTGTGTTTACAACTACAGCAGACCACGTTACGCAGTAGTTGTGTGTATAATGTGAATGTGTCTTACCCTCATCAAGGTGTGATGATCTTCGCTGTACTCCACCTGAGCGGAGGACAGGTTGATGATGGCTCGCTCCACATAGTCTCTCTCGCTGCGGTACAGGTAAACGTACGGCCGCCGCACAACAATGTACCGCTTCACCCAGCCACTGGTGTGAGGCTCCAGAAAGTGCAGATAACCTTTCTTTGACACAATGGGGCTGTTTGCATAGGAAAATTACATATATTACATTATTTACGGTACAGGGCAATCCGTTTCAATCAGGATTTTGAAAGTTTTCACAGTAGTGAGTCTGCTCAGCATAATTACATTTAAAAGAACACTCCACTTAAAAATATATAAATAATAATTTCTATAGGCTTATTTTACCCCTTATGAATGTTTTCAGCTGACCTCTGAGTCTAGCTGGAGCACTTTTAACTTAGCATAGATCACTGAATCGTAATTTTCATGGAGCAACCATTGAGATATTTGTGAAAGATATAAACATATTTATAGAACATTTTTACTTTGGTGCAGATACTGAATGTATCTATTTGTTCTGGACAGATGGAAGAAATTGCACCTGCTTCAGCCATGGTACAGCAGGTAAAGCTCCCTGATAATTACAGAATGGAGTATTGACCTTACTCCTTCACATACTTCCAGATTCAGCCAGTCTCATTCACTTCTATTTACTTTAAACTGTAAAAAAAACAGCTCATTATGCTGCTTAATGTTACAAATCTGTATTTTCTTATATGTTATTTATGTATTATCATGAACACAATTGTTTGTAGCGTAAGTAGTTAAACCGTTTTCTGCCTGGTAATACCCCCCCCCCCCCCCAAATGTAAATGAAACGTTATTTCTAAAACAAAGATGATAGTTTAGTTCTGAGTTGCAGAGTAAGATTAATAGTTCCAATCCATATCAACCTAGAAAATAGCTAATTTAGATGATGTAACTACAGAAGGGTCAAGTTTTAGTAAAAGTATCTAAACTGTTTGGTAATATTTGAACGAGATGCTAATAGTCTAATCTAATTCAGTGATCTATGCTAAGCTAAAGCAATAGTGCTCCTGCCAAACCCGAGAAGAGAAATTATTAGCTGAAATTATTGCTTAACTCTAGATGACTTGTAATTGAGCCTATTTTCAAAAATAATTTTAGTGTTTAAGTGTCTTTAGTGCTGCTTTTTAAAAAGTTTTTTAGCTGTATAGTTTTGGATTTTAGCTGTATAGGTTATGGATTTTATACTGACACCTAGTGGTGCAGACCAAGGGTGTCGCTAGACCCCACTTACTGGGGCACATGCCACAGTAAAAATCACCTGTGCCCCAGTAAATTTTTTGCAGTTAACGTTACATGTGTAGAAAGTGTATTAATCAAGAGTAGTAATCCAAAGATGTTATTCTATATGTGCAACCAAATCACCACTTGCGAAAGAATGTAGTTTAATTGAAAAAAAACTGACATATGCAGAAAAACATTTAGGGGCTTAAGTGGTTGAGAGGGGCCCGTGCCCCAGTAGAGTTTTATGTCTAGAAACACCCCTGGTTGGACGCAACTTTACATAAACTGTACCCTTGTACAAAAGCACTGATAGGCCAAAACATTACGATCTTAGATATATTTGATTAGCTCGTAACGAGGCAAAATATTAGAGTCTTAAAAAATAAGCAGTTCTCATATTCAACGTGTTGACTCCGGGTGAAATAGACAGGAGTAAATATTTGAGTGACTTTGCCAAAGGTTAAATTGTTATATTAATTGTGCAAGCAAAAGTGTCGAAAATGGACAGTAAATATATCCAATACTGTTTACATGATGATGGTTTATACATATTTTTTTAAAAGTAAAAATTAATTTAATGCATCTCAAAATTAATGTAAATACTATACACATACAGGCCATAGCCAGTGGCGGTTTGGGTGGTTCAGAAGACTTAGCCCTTACTGACAAAATGTCCAGAATTTGTCCCGTATATGAGCTCATTTGTCCTATTTTGACTGCCATGCTAACATAAATAGTGAAAATTACCCATCGAAAAAGGCTTTAAGATCAAGCAGAATCCTATCCAAGCAGAACAAATATTTTCATTTTACAATCTGCCATAAGAGAAGTCTTCTTTCGCTACTGTATTGTTTTTAAACAGAGAAATGATTTAACAGGTAACTTTATTGCTAAATCTTGGACATTATTCCTGAAACAAAAAATGAGCAATGAAAAGGTGTGAAGCACCAAAAGCGGCCCATATTGTAATTGATTTGAACACTATTTTGGTTATTATTGTTATGCTTAAATTTTCAAAGGTACTTTTTTACAAGAGAGGCAAGAAAAATCTGTGAAGCTTTACATTATTATTATTATTATTATTATTATGTTTTAATTATTTTTCTATTCAAATGGACAAATTGCGATGTTAAATGGGCTACAGTTAAATGTTAAATGGGCTACAGATTTTAATTCTAACTTTATAAGATTCATATTTATTTCTAATGATATATGATTGATAAATTTGTACTATTTCATATTTCTTTATTATAAATCTTTAGGAAATATTTTTGGTATATCAAATGTGTGTGGTTAAGATGACTATCCGGCAAGCTGATGCAGATAACAAAAATGCATAAATGTACTTATTAAATCTCATAATTAAATAAAAATGTGGTGAATTTTTTAGATAAAAGGATCATTCCTTTTACCAGGCTGGCTACGGCCTGACATACTGTGAGTACAGTTGGATTTTTGCAACTATTTGTATTTTGCAGTAAATTATTTATCCACAAGGTGGCAATGGTGCTTTCAGGTTGCTGACTGACAAGAAAGTCAAAGGAAAATGTTACTAATAAACTGATTGGAATCCCACAGAGATAACAGATGCCAAATAATGCAAGTAATAATGTAAAGAGGTTATAAAAGTACCATGGTTTTTACTAATCTATAATGAAAGAATGAAAATAATGTTTATATGTGTTATAATGCATAACTAGAAATTGTGGACAGTTTTTACATCAGAAGGGGTGTTGAAAATTGTCACAATGTTATTGTGTTTGACTGAATTATACTTTGAACAAAAAAGTGAAATTAGCTATCCTTTGAAAGACTGTGTGTGCATAAAAACAAAGAATAATTTGCCCTTTAATGTCCAAGTGTGTTAGGTGATGATGTCATTTCTAAAACAGTGTTTCCGGGTGCTGCAGTACCTGACACGAATCTCCTGGATATTGGGGATGAAGGTGCAGGTCCTTGGTTTTCTCTCAATAGGACTGAATGGATCGAGATCAGGGCTAGAAGCACCAGAGTTAGCCTCAGCACCTCTGAAAAAAATATCCACACAGAAAAGGAGTGTTAGAAACCAATAATGTGATGTATAGAGACTGAAAGTGTAGACTGATTCTCAAAAAACTAATAGGTTTCAGAGATAAGGCTAGTCCTAGACTAAATTGCACATTTAAGCTGTCTAAACTGAGAAAAACTTACTGTGACATATCTTAAAATAAGTCAATGACATTGTTTTGTCTCAAGAGGCACACAAACCCACAAGCAGTATACTATAAATGTACTATTTCTGAGTAAAATATGCTCTTTAATAACTCTAGCTTATGCCAAATTATCCCCAGTGGAAAAAAGCTAAGTACACTTACAGCATAAACCTAGAAGGCTACTTGTTATCTATCTTGTCAGATTGTCCTACCTCCCATTCAAAAAGTAAGAAGCACATGTTGATGATGCAATATGCCACCCATCAGATTTTGCTACCAGTGTAAATTTTAATGTGGAGAAGTGTGATATGAAGCTGTAATATCGCCCTAACCTACCTTATCCCTAACCTCAACCTCAGTACCATTTAAATACAGTGTTAGTAGCACTGTAATCTTATAGGTAGGATAAAATATTAGGACACCGGCATTGGCAATGATTGTTGGTCAGAGAGTATTTGTATGTTTACTACTGTTTGTGCATTTGGAGGTGTTAAATGCAGAGCCCAGGTTCTGAGTATGGGACGCCATGCTTGGTGAGGGGGCCACATGTCATGACTTCTTTCCTTCCTTCACAAACTAATTATTTACTAAAGTGAACTGCTAGTGTACTCAAAAGTTGACTTGTAGTACAAATAAAAAAACATAATTGCTGACTATTTAAGCACATATAATTTACTAAAGTTACACCGGTTTCACACCGCAAGCGTGAGCGGCACGTGAGCAGTGCATAAGTGTATCTACAACATTACTGCAGTGGCAGACTCATGATTGTATTTACACAATGTTTGAGCATGCTTGTAGCTTGTGATGACCCCAGCGACTCCAAAACATAAAGGTTTTTGTAAATCTACAATTAAAACCTGTAACCTACTTTAACCTACATATAAAAAGCTATACATTTTTTTCCTAATTTGTAAATTATTAATCTGAAAGAAATTTTATGTAATACTGTTTATTATACATTTACCATAAAGTGAATGTACAGAATTCTCAACCACTGCAAGATGTAAAGTGAACTCAACTGATTTTGCGAGGGTATACAAAAGATTTAAAAAATTATATTTTGCTTTCCCCTCTTTTATTTTTTTTCACCATAAAACTGAGCTGTAAAGCAGCTTATGCCATTTTTGGCCATTTTGTATTTGCCATACTAGCACTCAAACTTAAGAATTAAAAACATGTATACAATGCATCTTCTGCAGCCTACATTTATTAAATAATCTAATTGTCTTATGACAAAATGACTTTCTGCTTATTCTGTGTATTTTGTACTTGTTTTGTGTATTTATAGAACTTTTTGTATGAAATCATATTATTTTGGCCATCACAAGGGTGCTGTCACTTTGTTTGAGAGTGAGTAGCAAAATGAGACTCTATTAGGCGCCAAACTGTTGCTCCCGGTATGACCACTAATTTATTGACATACACGCCAAAGGAAATATACACTGCTCACAAACCTCTCACACTCAGAGGTGTAAAATCCGCTTTATACTTATAGCATACTTCAATACATTTTAAGTCAGAATTATTAGCCCCCTGTTTATTTTCCCCCTAATTTCTGTTTAACGGAGAGAATATTTTTTTCAACACATTTCTAAACATAATAATTTTAATATCTAATTTCTAATAACTGATTTATTTTATCTTTGCTATGATGACAGTAAATAATATTTGACTAGATCTTTTTCAAGACATTTCTATACAGCTTAAATTGACATTTATAGGCTTAACTAGGTTAATTACGTTAACTAGGCAAGTTATTGTACTGTATAAAGATGGTTTGTTCTGTAGACTATCGAAAAAATATAGCTTAAAGGGGCTAATAATTTTGTCCATAAAGTGGTGTTTAAAAAATTAAAAACTGCTTTTATTCTAGCTGAAATAAAACAAATAAGACTTTCTATAGAAGAAAAAAAAATTATCAGACATACTGTGAAAATTTCCTTGCTCTGTTAAACATCATTTGGGAAATATTTAAAAAAGAAAAAAAAATCAAAGGGGGCTAATAATTCTGACTTTAACTGTATATACTTTTACATACTAAAAATGGGGCCAATTAAGTCCTACTTACAAGTATAATAGTTGTACATCAATGTTAGTATACTTACTACATTAAGCATACTTAATTATATACTTAAGTGTACTTCATACAGTGAATTTAGTGTAGTATGTATTCTTAGTACTTAGTAAAAGTAACTTAGTAAGTGTACATTTATTTCGAAAGGGTCAGCAGGAAGGAGCCTGGCTGTGTTGTAAATGCACTAACCTGAGGTCTGTGCTGTAGTGACCGTCCAGCAGTGATGGGCAGGTGGAGGAGGGCGTCAGAGAGCTTAGAGGTGAAGTAACACTGTCTCTTAAAAGAGACGCGGAAATCTCTGACAGCTAAAACAAAGAACACCACCAGATGATGAAGCTAGCAATAGATTAAAAAATCTCATCCATCAAATTGCAGAAAATGCCATGCTTACCAATGCCAAGCAATAACAGTACTACACTAATCATGCTGCTCTACCCTACATGACTGAATTAGAGAAGTGGACAGAGATTTTTTATGCCACTTTACATGGCACAAGAAATGACACTGAGAGAGACATAGAAAGAAAGAGAGAGTGACATCTGGTCTGCATGGGCGAGAGAATGAGGCAAGGCCTGGGTGAACACTAGTGCAGTAAAGGCTCACCTTGCTCTCACTGAGACTGCTGCTCACCTGGCTGTACTGCCTGTTGAAGGTGTGCATGAGCAGTCGCACACACTGAAGAGACAAAACACAATAAAGGACATTAAGTAAACACACTGAATTTTTAACATTTCAGAGTTATGAGTTATGTTTAATATTATAGCACAGTGATTAAAGTAATTGACTAAAGCTGAACGAGGCAAGATTTTAACACAGGGACATGAATTACAAGATTTGAAAAACAAGGATGACAATTAAATGAACGAGGAATTGTAATTAACAAATAAATATATTGTATTCATTATAAAATAAAAAAATAAAATAAGTCATTGATATACTTCATTAAAATATAAATGTGATTCCGGGACTTTTATTTTAATTTTTTTTTTGAAAATTAAATTAAATAAAAAATTTAATAAAATAAAATATAAAAATGTAATTTAATTAAAATTCAATTCAATACAATTAAATTAAATTCAAATTAAATTCAAATTATATATATATATATATATATATATATATATATATATATATATATATATATATATATATATATATATATTAATTAAATTAAATTGAAATAAAATAAAATAAAACATAAAATTATAATTTCATTTAATTAAAATATAAAACTTGTATTTAATTCAAATTAAATTCAATAAAAAATAAATTAAAATAAACGTAATTTAAAATTAAATTAAATGATAATTTAATTTAATTAAAATATAATATAAAAATTTACTTTAATTAAAATAAATAAAATAAAATAAAATAAAATAAAATTAAATTAAATTGTTATGAAATGTTTTGTGTAACTGTCTTGAAAATTAGTGTAATCTTCATAAGGAACTATTTCACCTTCATAAATGAAATCACTGAAATTACTGGAGTAATAAATAATCTTTAGTAATGTGACATGTTGTGGATATATGCAGCAGATATTCACCTTGGCAGCCAGCTCCCTCTGCCTCTCATTGGGACTGTCCAGACCCAGACTCATTACTGGGCTGATCATGGGGCTGTTGGCCTTCGGCGAGTCCAACAGATCTTTGCCATAGAAAGAGTCCTGTCCCAGCAGCAGAGACGCTTCCAGTTTTTCTCTCAGCAAAAGATAGTGCCTAGTCTTCTCAACCTGTAAACAAACAAACAAACAAACAAACACTTCCCCATCATTTACTGAAAACAAGTCACATTATCCCTAATATAAAAGGCATTTAACATCAAAAAGAACCATATTTGACCTCTTGTAGGAGGCTAAGTTTCTCCAGCTCCCACTGGTGGTCCAGGATGAGGCTGTCGCTGCGGGGTCTCCACCCTGCCAGGTTCTCCTCACCACGCACATACGCCACTGAGGTGTCCAGCACCCGTCTGCGCCTCCTCTGCATACCTGCACCATCACAGTCAATGAGGAACAACAAAGTCAATCACATATAAAGATTTACAGTTGAAAGTTAAAATTGCTTGCTTCCTGTGAATTTTTTTTTTCAAGTATTTCTCAAAGATGTTTAGTAGAGCAAGGAATTTTTCACAGTATTTCCTATAATATTTTTTTTCTTCTGGAGAAAGTCTTATCTGTTTTATTTCAGTTAGAATAAAATCAAATGTTATTTTTTTAAAACCATTTTAAGGTCAATATTACTGGCCCTCTTAAGAAATATTTTTCAATTGTTTACAGAACAAACTATTATGCTTAGAAATGTGTTAAAAAAAATCTTCTTACTGTTAAACAGAAATTAGGTAAAAAATATACTATAAAATTCAGACTTCAACTTTAAATGTGCCTAAAAATAAGGTAATTTGTAAAATAGTATAACTTACCAGGACTTCCGATGTCAGCCAAATGGCAGAGGCTTAATTCATACACTCCAGTCACACAGTTACTGAAAAACAAAAGAGCAATGGTGAGTTTAACAATCTATTTCACTTCACTACTGCAATTATAATTCAAGCAGAAAACTGTCTGCAGATGACTCTGAAGAATTTCAGGTACATTTCATTTATTTTCCATTCAATTTCCTTAAATTGGAATGATAAACAAAACAATATATAATTGACATTAAATGAATCTGTCATTAATACATTTGATAGCTAACATTTCATAGTTACTAATTGTTGTTCAAATTATTGTTAAACTAAAACTAACACCACTGACAATAACAGCGTTATCCACTATTTTGAGTTTTAGCTCGAGATGCTAACCTCAAATCTGAGATACCATATGGCATGTCTAAAACTAAACAGTATACATTTTCATCATATTGTTGTTAAAAAGTGAATGAGAAATTAACTGAAATGTCACAGTAGAATCATTAAAAAATAACTACTTGAAAATGTATTTAAGTTAAAATGAAAGTTACAACTGAATTTAGAAATAGTTTTGAAACAAATCTTTGCACTTAACAAACAAATTTAAACATGTAGGCCTGATGGATGTCTTCAGTGGAGTAAGTTTCCATCGTTTCCTTATCCAAGAAAGTAAAGGAGTAAAGTAAAGAGAAAGTAAAGAGGCAGAATGGAGGAGGCTCGTTCTTTATCCTTGTGCTGCATATGGTCTAGTTAACTGTTTTCTTGCTTCAGTTTTTCCACTTACAAAGTCCACCATGTTTATAGCAAATGCGCCATGATGTGACGCAACTGACTTTTAAAGGGAATGTGAGATGAGACTCTGATTGGTTTAATGCACGTTATGCTTAAAAGACAGGCTTTGTGCCGGGGCGCAAAGCAAATTTTTCCATCCTTAAAATAGCAAATGTGGATTCGGACATGCCCTTAATGCTTTTGCGATATGCAATTTAGACTTTGCGAAAGTCTAAATCTTTTGCTGAAATACTAGAAACACCCAGACATAAAGTCTTCAACATGGCAAAGGAAGGCCAGCAATGTTTCCTTACCTCTCTAATGGCCTAAAGGCACCAGTGCTGAAAAGGTTTCGAATGGATCGAGATGCAGGCAGTTTAGCATCTCTGGAGTAGAACACCATGCAGAAATCCTTAGTGACCACAGTGGGCTGAGTGCAGTTCTCCATCTAGACAACACAAAAATAAGTTCATGCCGCATCTTATTTCCTGTGATGAAAATTTCTGAAGTGCAACCATATCTTAAATGCAGGAGTGAATACTCAAATGTATTGCTTTTGTGATTACCAACAAAGACTCACTCTTGAAATTGCTATGAATGACGCTGTGGTGACAAATGCCACATTCTTTGCCATCTTGTGCATTTTGCCTCCTCTTTTTTTAGTCCAAAGTAATATTAAAGTAATCAATGATTCAATAAATTTGATTTGATGACTCAAAGCTGCTTCAGATGTTACAATGTTTATTGAGCATCTTTTGAGTTGTGGTTTGGGTCGGTACAATATACATAAAGCAATCAAGTTTGAATTATTAAATAAGACAGGTGAAAACTATGATATATTGGCTTGTAGCTCATATTGGTTTCTAGAAAGACATTTTTCTATTTGCAAAACCTGGTTGGGTTTGTAAAAAAATAAAAGTTAAACAAAATATTAGTGCTGTTATACGAGTAATCGCAAGTAATCACATTCAAAATATTTGTATTATGTATATTTATATATCATTTGTATTAGATAAAAATATTTAATTTATAAAAATAAATTAACATTTTCTCAAACACATACAGTTGAAGTCAGAATTAATAGCCCCCCTGAATTATTCGCCCCCGTTTATTTTTTCCCCAATTTCTGTTTAACAGAGGGAAGATTTTTCAACACATTTCTAAACATAATAGTTTTAATAACTCATTTCTAATAACTGATTTATTTTATCTTTGACATGATGACAGTAAATAAAATTTTGCTAGATATTTTTCAAGACACTTCTATGCAGTTTAACGGCTTAACTAGATTTGCTAGGTTACATAGCCAGGTTAAGGTAATTATGCAGGTTACTGCATAATGATAGTTTGTTCTGTAGATTAACAAAAAAATAAATAAATAGCTTAACTAAGACTTCCCCCAAAAGGAAAACAATTATCAGACATACTGTGAAAATGTCCTTGCTCTGTTAAACATCATTTGGAATATATTTAAAAAAGATTAAAAAAACAAAACAAAGGGAGGCCAATAATTCTGACTTCAAGTGTACATGATGTACAGTGTGTGTGTGTGTGTGTGTGTGTGTGTGTGTGTGTGTGTGTGTGTGTGTAAATTGTATTTTGGATGCAATTAATCGTGATTACTCTTTTTGACGGCACTAAATATAATAAGTGATTAAAGTTGCATTGTATACAATGGTTAACGAATTTCTTTTAAGATAAAAGGCTCCAAATTGCAATGATACCCTTTTTGAATCATGGCCATAAGCAACTATAATCAGCATGAATCTAAATATAGTTAAAGCTAAACTTGTGATTGTGTAGTGTAAATAAACCATGATTAGTTTATATTACTTTAATGTAGTTCCAACATCTGCCACATTGATTAAATCAAACAACTTGAGGATGGAACAGTTTTCCTCACCTCCAGGTAGGCGGAGAGAGTGATGTAAATTTTCTCTCCATATGGAGTGACACGGTTGAGCAGGAGAGAGTTGTGCATCGAAGAGTCCCATGCTGCCTCGAAGCGGTAGAATGTCCTGAAAAGTAGTAAACAGCTTACAATTAAATTTGTGAGTATATATACTGTAAATATTTTAATCTTTTTGAATCCCTAAGATGGGTCACAACGAGAAAATTATACACAAAACAATTCTGTATTCTGAAAAAGAAAAAAAAAAACATACCTATGGTCACTTCCCAATGACACTCTGACAGGAAACAATAAAGACATTCTCGTGTTAGTGGGTTAAAATTGTTAGTTATGGTTATTAACAAACATTTTAAGTTATTAATTGACATTTATGCTAAATTTTATACAGCAGTTTATTTAAATACTGTAATGTAACCCCATCTATGCAAAAATGGATTAAAATATTTATGTTTTAACCACATTGTAATTAGTACAATATTATATATATATATATATATATATATATATATATATATATATATATATATATATATATATATATATATATATATAATTAGCAATATTTTAAAAATTATCACAAAATTAAAACATAAACATGACAGATCTTTCTTAACATTTCAGAGGTGTACCTATCATCATAAGTCGGCCGTATGTAGTTTGAAGACAGGATGTTGAGGGACAGGATGTTGGGGTCGATGATAGTCTCATCCGCCTCGGGTGTGTTACGGATGCGCCCTAAAAAATGGAAGTAATGCTAAGTCAGCTGAAACTCTACCTGAATATTTGTCATTACATCTCCTTTTGTCCTCTGAGCTTCTGATAAGCTTTGAGAGAGAAAGAGAGGAAGAAAATCTAACCTATGACAAGTTCTTTAACTTCTTTCCACTCAATATCATTGCCGGTTTCATGGGCGATAGTGACTGTAATTCTCCTTTGGATGCCCTATGGAAAAAATAAGGTTAACTCACTTTTTTCGACAGAAAGGAATACTTTTGCTCACAAAGCCTGTTTAAAGTATATGTAAAGTGAGAGTAAAAACATGTATTATTGTTTCGGTATGCTCACACAAGAATACTAGGAAGAAAGATTAATGTTATAGCAGCTAATAAATCAGTGTCCAAAGACCGTAGCAGGATAATGTAACAGTGAATAGCAAAAACATTACAAATGATGATGACAAACAGAACAGATAAAAAAAAAATACTAAGTGACAAAAGAAACACCCTAACTAGATAACTAACTAGATAAAAAGGAGGAAAGCTGCTGAATAAAATGAAAATTAAATCAAAACTGGTAAATATTTTAGAAAAAATTTAATTTGAATTAATTAATCAAAAAATCCTTTACAACAATCCTGAAACATATCACTAAATATTGTGTATGGTTTGGAATATTAATGCTGAAATTTTAGCAGGCTGTAAAATATCTGTTAACAGATGCCCACTGTTTGTAATTTTTAGGAGTTTTCCATTTATTTTTGTTTATTAATCCATGTATATGCTTTTCCATTTTCTATTTATTTACCTCGATCTCAGCTATGACAAATTTTGAGGATGAAAAATTAAGTCTGCAGTTTACCAAGGTGACTTTTATTGATATTTTTAGTAGACTGAAACAATATATTGTAGTATTCACTGGCCACTTTATTACATACACTTGTCCAAATTTCTTATCAGCAATCACATGGCAGCAACTCAGTGCATTTAGGCATGTAGGCATGGTCAAGACGATCTGTTGCAGTTTAAACTGAGCATCAGAATGGTGGAGAAAGATGATTGAAGTGACTTTGAATGTGGCATGGTTGTTGGTGACAGATAGCCTGTTCTGAGTATTTTAGACACTGCTGATCTACTGAGATTTTCACACAACAACTATGTCTAGGGTATACAGAGAATGGTCTGAAAAAGAGAAAATATCCAGTAAGTGGCAGTACTGTGAGTGCAAATGCCTTGTTGATGCCAGAGGTCAGAGAAGAATGGCTAGACTGGTTCCAGCTGATGGAAATGCAACAGTAGCTCAAATAACCTATCGTTACAGCCAAGGTATTCAGAAGAGCATCTCTGAACTCACAACACGTCCAACCTTGAGACAGATAGGCTACAACAGCAGAAGACCACACCGGGTGCCACTCCTCTCAGCTAAGAACAAGAAACTGAGGCTACAATTTGCACAGGCTCACCAAAACTAGACAATAAAAGAAGGAAATGAAAAAACGTTGCCTGATCTAATGAGTCTCGATTTCTACTGCGACATTCAGATGGTAGGGTCAGAATTTGGCCTCAACAACTTGAAAACATGGATCCATCCTGCCTTGTATCAATGGTTCAGGCTGCTGGTGGTGGTGTAATGGTGTGGGGGATATTTTTTGGCACACTTTGGGCCCATTACTAACAACTGCGCATCAGGTCAACGCCACAGCCAACCTGAGTATTGTTACTGACCATGTCCATCCCTTTATGACCACAGTGTGCCCATCTTCTGATGTCTACTTCCAGCAGGATAACACGCCATGTCATAAAGCATGAATCATCTCAGACTGGTTTCTTGAACATGACAATGAGATCACTGTACTCAAATGGCCTCCAGAGTAACCAGAGCTCAATCCAATAGAACACCTTTGGGACGTGGTGAAACGAAAAATTCGCATCATGGATAGGAAGACGACAAATCTGCAGCAACTGCCTGTTGATAGCTTGTCAATAAGGGCTAAAATCTTTGAGGAATATTTCCAGTACCTTGTGGAATTTATGCCATGAAGGATTAAGGCAGTTCTGAAGACAAAGTGGGGTCCAACTCACTAATAGTAAGGTGTACCTAATAAAGTAGCCGGTGAGTGTATATACAGTATGTAGAATAAAATCTATATAGTAACAGAAAAGTGCCAGCACTGCTTTTTTGTAGCATCATTTACATGACCAACACAAACTATACTGTTTCAAACAACTCAAATTTATCGATAAAACATGTCAGAGTAAAGATCAAGCTCTCATAATGCAATTTAAGAAGGTAAATAAACAGAATAACAAGCTCGAGGCAAATGCTAACAAAACAGGTATTTTTAAAAAAGCAAACATACATTACATTCTAACATAATTAAATGCAAAACAGCTCCTTTTAACTAAAATTTCACTGTATGTGTTTTATTATTGGTGAGTCTGTAATACTTCTTTTAAAGATACAGTATTACCAAATCTTTCCAACCCCAAAACTTTGAAAGGTATAGATATAATATGTCAGTATTACCATAAACTAGGAACAGAAGGATGGATTTATGTGTACCTGGTGCAACAGGAATGTACCATGGCAGGGCATTCCACCCCTGTGATCAACAACAGCAGGGATGTAACTGAAGAAGGACACAAACAGGTACAAGGGTTACATTATATATGAATAACCAGCCATACATGCAGACTTCAATGAGTAACTCACTGGACACTGATATACCACAAGCCATGAGTTCATCAGATACTCACTCCCCGTTGGCCTCCAGCTCACAGATCTCAAAGAAAGCCATAAGGTCATATTTGCAGTGGCAGGGGCCTGCGGTGGAGCGGGCGAGCGTGCTCAGTTTGGTGGCGGGCACTAGGGGGAGACAGACGTGATTTTATATACCCAGACAGACCAACAGAAATATACATGAAATAAAAAAAAACTCAGCTCACCTGGCTTTGACAAAGGCATAACCCTGGGAAACTGCCTTCTCATAGGACGTAATGAACTAGGAGAGGAAACATGTAGTTATATAAACTATTTAATGAGGTAATGAGGTGATTTTTTTTTACAAAATTAAATAGAAGAGAACACACAATTTGTAAAAAGTAGCTTAAAGTTGCCAAAAGTAGCTGTAATGTAGGTAAAATGTTCCTATAATGAAAATCTGGATATACACTCAAACATTGTTTAGATACACTCGAATAACTATACAATACTAATGTATAGAACATACATTATATACACAAAAAAAACTACAAATGTGCTGAGTCAACGCAATTCTTGAGGTTTTTTTAAGATGATAATTTAAATGTTTTATGTTCAATCCACTTAAATTTATAAAAACAATTAAGTTAACTTAATTGAATTGTATTGGGACAGCATTTTTTGACAGTATACCAAGGAAAAGCATGGAAATGCCATTTCCTGAGGCTCACTTTTTTTTCCTCATTCTCATGTAACCCCTACGAGTGTAAAATCCCAGTGGAAAAACATTCCATTAGAAACAAAACAAAACACACAGTTACGTTGCACATATGTTTCATCATTAATATGTTGAAATAATACAAATTTCCCCTTGTTTATCTAAGTTTATATTAAACGATATTAAAACGAGATCAAATAGTTCTCGAGAGCTCCCCTGAGGTAAAGGAAGAAAGGAGGAGAAGTGGTGGATGGGGGATTACTTCGGAAAATGAAGATAAGGAAGTCATTTTTAGCTGGGCTACTTAAAGTGAGTTAGGATCAATCTAACTAGTTGAATTAATCTAAACAAACTAGTGATTGTAGATGAGAGACCAGCTGCGGTCAATCATATCACATGCTCCTCTCGAAATTAGTTGGTGAAACTTCACTTCAAGAGTTCATACTTAAATATTGTTTGGCAAATGATAGAAGGTTTGGCATGCTGTCTCGGGAGAAAACCCTGAGCTCTGAGATAATTGAGCCCGGGGCTCCAGCCTGGTCGATTAAGCATGTAAGGGGAGTATGAGATCAGGTAGTTCTCGAGAGCTCCCCAAAATGCTTAATGACTTAGGACAGGTCAAAGAAACTCCCCAAAAGGCAAGGGGAGAGAGCTGAGTGATACTCAGAGCTGGAAGGAAGAAAGAAGGTTAAATGGCTGGGTCATGCCCTCTTTTGGGAAGTCGATGTGGCTGGATAATGCCCCCGCCCTTGAGAGTATGATGTGGCTGAATTGAGCCCACACCCTTGGGCACTGGAATTAGGGTCTGCTGGTGAGGGTCTTCTGGGCCTCTTTGAGATGATTGTAGCTAAGGCTAATGTGGGATTTAAAGATGTCGAAAGACCACCTTCCAAGTGTTTGTATGTGCTGTTGTGATAATCCTTTGTGTGGTGCTGTGGTGGTGGCTCCGATTCTAAATGAGTGGCCTGAATGGTGGAGGACTGCTTTTAAGTGTTTCGTAACCAAAAACATGTAACTGGGGGGTTTCTGTCATCTATGAAAAGAGGGGAGAGGGGACTGAAACTAAAGACTATAGAATACACAAGACAAGTCACTCCTAAACTTTCGAATGGGAAAAAGTGTAACTGTCAATATGGCGAATGAACCCCCGCCTTGTAGTACAGGAGCCAATCAGTGATCACTATATGGTGAATAAAACCCACCTTCTAGTACAGGAGCCAATTAGCGATCGCTATAGACTAGGGCTGCACGATACATCGTTTCAGCATCGAAATCGCGATGTGCGCATCCGCGATAGTCACATCGCAGGAGGGTGCGATGCAAAAAAAAATAATTATATATATAGGCTATATGTATTATGGGTGGAGCAGAACCCGAATACGGTATTCGGATAAGCACGAATAGCTTGTTTTTTACCAATACTTATTTCGAACAAATACTTGAAGAATGATTTGTGTTCGGGGAACAAGAAAAACATTATATCAAAAAGCTGCGTTTCCTCATGAGACCGCAGTGCATGCCCGCATGAGTGAGTGAGTGAGTGAGACGTTCAGGAGTCGGAGGCGGGGTGGGGCCGGGGAAAAAAGGTGACTGAAGCATGCTGCTGTTCCACAACAGCAACAGAGAAGGCTTGGCAGAGCGAAAAATACTGCATTACTATTTTTAATGATATATATTTATGAATGATTTATAATTTTTTTTTTTCATCATACTAAAATAACACGTGACAGAAGTTCACTCAAAAGTGAAAGTTCTTTCTGTCATTAATTACTAACACTCCTGTCATTACTACTTTCAGAACATAAATTTTAATATTTTACCATATGAAAATGCAATGCGGTTATGAAAATTGTGAAATTAAAGCAATAGTGCAGAGATCTGGTCCCCGCGTCAGGTCAGGGTGCACCTGTAAACTTTCAAACAAAGACGCGGAGGTGCACTAAACTCACACGGGAAAGAACTGGGCATTCAATTCATGTTTTAGTTAAATAATTCTTTAAATACAGCTCTCTTGATCCTCGAAAGGGGAAAAATGCAAAAGAAATTTGTCGTTAAATTAATTTTAGCAGAGACGCAACTGCCTGTCATTTTCACATTCGTTTTTCAGTTAGGGATTAGGTCTATTAACCTAATAACAATGTTTTGTTGGACACTGTAGTCTACACAATAATCAATATTATAATTTATTATATACATTATTATTAAAACTAAACTATACAATTGATAAAATAAAACCCTTTTTATTGTTTAATTGCTTTCATTTTGACACCGCTAACAGTTGTAATAAAAAACATCACATTATGCAGAAGTTAAAAATACCTTTTGAGTTTAAAGATGATCAGCCTGCCAAGTCAAGTTTACACTGTCATAAATGAAATAGGTAGCATGATTGAAGGGGATTTGCCCAGCACACAACCTCTCGCTGCAGGTAAGCTGAATGATAATCTTTAAAAATATATATGCAATACAAAACTTTTAACATTTATGTTTTTTTTTTTAATAAAAAGAAAAGAAATCAGGAGAGTAAAATATAATTTAAACCACTGGTCTGGCGCTGATACTTTACTGTTTGTAGCGAGAAGAAGAAAAAAAAGCAGAAAAAAAGCACCGTCTCCCCAGATGAAAATCTGGGGATTTTTTTTAGAAAAGATCATGACATTGTGAGGCGTTTATCATACAACGCAGTTCACAATCATTCATATTAACTAATGTTAATTCTCTCTAGACTTTGTTTTAGGGCTTGTTCTTGTCGGCGCAATAGCCTCGGCTTATTGCACGTACGAATCCGATTGTGAAGAATGATTAAGCGCTTGCATTTTTCATTGCATCCTTTTCGCAAGTTATTTATCTATTTATTTTTTTAAAGTGGTGAGAGCATTATTTACTGGCAAACATGTTCCATGATCTCATACATCAACAAATAAAGTAGCCTACCTAAATTAATTGACCTTTTATGTAAAAATTAAGGAATAACTTAACTTAATTAAATATTAATAAATAAAACATCTGTATAAACGTAGGCGTACGTGTTTATTTTTGAACTTTCGTTAATAAAACACAAAACTGTTTATAAATATTGTAGTTAAATATTAAATAACTTTAACTGCTTGAAACCGTATAATAATAATTAAACGTGACATTTTTTAAAGAACTTAACAAATAGCCTAAATGGCACTTTACTAATCAGTGTAATAATAATATAAATATTAATAATTATAAGTAAAAAGTAAATATTAACCTAGTAACAATATAAGTCAGATGTTTAAAAAAAACAACGTAGGTTCTCTCCACCTTTTGTATTCATATTTTAAATTATTTGCCAGAAAAACTAACATATTGACTTTGTCCGGTTTAAGTGAAGAATGGGGTTATAATGTTTCCAGCAATACACTGTCAGACGGTGTGCTTGTAGCGAAAATGCACAGACAGGCTACTTTTTCTCAACCATGCTATAGGGCTTCTTGTTTCTGTTCCGCCGCCCGCATTACTCGCAACGGTTTCTCTACTCTGCGAAGCGACGCGTTCTTAACTAACTAACTTTTTCCCTCGCCGTCAATCGCCACTGGCTTGCATGATTCGGGACCCATGGATCTGCGTGTCGATGAATTTGCTCTTCAGTGTTTGGACTCTCAGCAGTGAATATTAAAACACACTTTAACACTTAAAAAACCCCTACAAAAAGCTTAATCTAAATTAATTCGTTCACCTTTCTCGGTCGGCATGAATCCAAAATGTTCCCAGATGTAAGATTTTGTTTTCTAACAAGATTCATGGTTGAACTTGAACTTGCTGAATCGCGCCTAATGTTATATTCTAACAGATATGTAATACTTGGCAACATAACAGTAATTTGTGTTTTAAAGTGCGTGACATCACGTACTACAGCCGGTGGCAATGGACAACTGCGGTGGCAACTGACCACGGCGGTGACGCGGTTGTCTCGGTGACCGTCACAGCCCTAGTCCTAAATATATATATATATATATATATATATATATATATATATATATATATATATATATATATATATCGCAGGGAAAAAAAATATCGCAATGTCAATTTTTTCCAATATCGTGCAGCCCTACTATAGACTGACAATTCTCCGGGGGAGGGGCTCGAACCAGATGTGAGTTTCTGCAGATTTTGTGTGATACGAACATTTAGAAATGAAACTAATTAGACAGTTGTGTGTTTAATTTTTATTGGTTACTTGTAAAATGAAATGTAATCGTAAGCTTGACAAGTAGTTTTGAAGAATATGATGTTTCCCCATTCAGACTGAATGCCCGAGCATACTGCCAGAGAGGCGTTTTAAAGATGGCCGCCAAGTGACTTGACTTGTCTTAAAAGGACTTTGCTAAAACCTAGTGTTTTTCTATAGTGTAGGTATGCTAGGAATGTTTGGAATTGGCTTGTAGGGGAGGAGATGTTAAATATGTAGATGAAGTGTCCTTTCCTGGATTGATCTGTTTTACTTTGTTTAATGAGGAAGGGTATTATTTCCTCATCAATCAAAGTTAGATCTGAGAAGGTGGGGTGGATACTGGAATCAAATGTACATGTTACTGTGATTTTGAAGCATCTGGGAAACCCAAATGGATGCCTTTAATAAGAGGGCTGGTTTGTGAATTAGCTATCGAATCGCATGTGGAGCCATACATTAACTCATAAAAAAATTGGATTCCACTTAGAAAGCTAGATGGAGATATGTGATGAAAGAAGTGATTGTAAGTAGGGAACAATTAGGGAATGTGGTGTGGTACAGGGAATGGAAATATTTGAATGCGTTCCATGCAGTGAGATATGATTGTAAGGTTCTGGGAGTTCCTGCTTGTAAAATAAGAGATATGGATGTTTGCTGCAGGTTGTGCATGGGATGATTTATGGGAATATCATCTCTGAATAAGGAGGGATGGGAGTCGGATGCAGCTCTGCTTCTGGAGCCAGTTGTCTGAATCTCTGATAGGATGAGGTTCTTGATAGCATTGGAGATCGAGGGTGATGAGTGAAGAGATGGATTCATAGAGTTTCAGTAATTCGTAGTTATTTTAGCAGCTAGAGATGGTGATTCCGGCGTCTAGGGGAGTCTGGCGAAGTTCGATGACTGTCATTTTGTTGGATGTGAGAGAAGATGATTTGACGGAAGCGTATGATAAAGCAGGAGAAGGTGGGTGGCGGTTTGAAGTAGTGGGAGATGGAGATTATAAGCAGCGTTGTGTTCTGGCGGAAGTGGAGCGTATGGGCCTTCGGCCTCTTACTGGGGCCTCGGTCTTGGGCTGACATCCAGGCTGGGCCGGGTGTTGTTGAGGCGGGGCTGGTGTTTCGGGGAAAGCTGAGTTTTCATTTCTGTCCATAACTGCGTTGTTGTTGCTAATGCTGTTATTGTTGCTGCAGTTGTTGTTGTTACGGGAAAAGCTGAGTTTTCGTTTCTGTCCATAACTGCGTTGTTGTTGCTGCTGCTGCTGCTGATGTTGTTGTCGGTAATGAAGGTGGTATTTGCTGTTGAAGGTGTATAAGAAGGTTGGTTTTGTGATTGGCTTTTGAAGAAGCTGGAGTTTGTGGAACAGTCCACTAGGCTATATGAGATTTTTCCTGACCATGTAAATCAAATGCAGATTCGCCAGGTCTTCAAACATTTCTGAAATGTCTAATGCTTTAAATCACTTTAGTCACGTGACCTGGATGTTTCGGATTATGCTTCTGTGCAGTGCAAGAGAAACACTTGCGCTTCGGGATCCAGACGCTGTGTTAAACATGAGTTTAGTGTCAGCCATCCCTAGTGGCACAGCGCTTTGCATCTGGTGTGTGATTGACTTTAAAAAGTTCTTAACCAGCCATCTGTTCACACACAGCGCATTAGAATGCAAAATGCTGGACACACTGATTATACATTTATTTAGTGCTACCCTGAAGAGGCATAAGGTCTGTTTAAATGAAGTAGCATCAGAGCAGAGATCATTAATATTCACAACCGTTCCAAATACCTTCTCACACTAAATATCTTACTTTGACTTTTGACTAGAAATATGGTCAAAATGGAGCTTATAGTAATTCATTTGTTTATAAATGAACAAGATTTTTGCACTTACCCAAGCCACATACCTACCATGTAGATATCAGAGAACAATATAACTTATTGAATCAATGCACTTTATGGCACTCATTTCATAACAGAAGCACAGTCAGATTTAAGATTAAAGTAAATGAATCCAAGTCAACTCAGCTTTATATTCAAATCTCTTTTTTTCCTAGCTCTATTCAAACCACAGAGACTTTAAAACATAACATAACAACCTTTTATGGTGACTAAAAAACATTTTTATAAAGTAATCTAAAACCTACCTAATTAAGTCCTTGCAAAGAGGAGGGAAGGGTTGTTTCTGGTAGTGGCCGAATACTTCAAAAACGATTGGCTGACTTTTGATGTATTCCACAAAGGACTTGGTGACCTCCACAGTTATCTGCAATAATAGCAAAGCACATATGAATGTATGCTTGATTTATTTCATATTTGAATTAATTGCTTTTTTAGTAAATAACATAAAGGTTGTGATTACATTTTGAACGTGGTAGAATCCCAGAGGAGGCCCTCGACCAGTATTCTTTAATGGCTCAGTGGAAAATGCCTCGTCATGCCTGTGAATAAAACTGATGGGAAAACACAGGGGGGATGAGTTAATATTGCATCAGATGATCTTGGATTAGTGTATGTAAAACTATGATTTCCTTTTTTTCATGATGTTTTTGAATGGCAACTTTCAAAATATCTATATAAAATGTTTCAAATTTGTAGCATTCTGCAGATCTACTGAAAATGTGAAAATTAAACAGCACAGATTCAGCAGCTCATTTAAAGCAAGACTGGAAAAAGTTTGATCTGATTACAAAAGCACAACTTTAAACACAGGTGTAAACAACATCTGAAAATTTCTGAGCTTATCTACTTTTAACCATTTACAGACATAGTCAAATGCTTGACCAAATTGCTTTCATACTGTAGACGTCCATGTAATGAAATAAGTTGCAAATGCCAAAAAGACACCTTCTATCAGCCAACTGTGGTATTGAAGCACACTTGTCAAACTGAATTTTAATTTTTCCATCCAAAATCTTAAGTTTATTTTCAAATAAAAAATGTTAAATGAACAATGTTCTCATATGTAAAATCCACATTGTTCTCTGATACTAATAGAAACCCACAGCAGTGTTTTTGACTATCAGAGCTTAAACAAACATTGCTGCTCTTCTTATCATTTTCTGTAGTCTTCTTTCAAACCCATGGTGTATATTCTGCTTTTTGGCAATATTGAAGTCAGCATGGGGGCGACGAGGTGGCGCAGTGGGTAGCACAATCGCCTCACAGAAAGTAGGTTGCTGGTTTGAGCCTCGGCTGGGTCAGTTGGCGTTTCTGTGTGAAGTTTGCATGTTCTCCCCGTGTTCGTGTGGGTTTCCTCCGGGTGCTCCGGTTTCCCCCACAAGTCCAAAGACATGCACTATAGGTGAATTGGGTGAGTTAAATTGTCCGTAGTGTATGAGTGTGAATGAGAGTGTGTGGGTGTTTCCCAGCGATGGGTTGCAGCTGGAAGGGCATACGCTGCATAAAACATATGCCGGAAAAGTTGGCTGTACATTCCGCTGTGGTGACCCCTGATTAATTAAGGGACTAAGGCAAAAAGAAAATGAATGAATGGATAAATACAACTTACTAGGGGTAGATCTACTTACTTGAATTGGCAGAAGATATCTGCATACTCAGCAGAGATGCTGGAAGCCTGAAGCACTGTGACTCTAAAGGTGAAGTTGCTGCCAATTTTTAAGTGCTGAAGCGATTTGTCTTGAGTCACATCTAGAGGACATTCTAGAACACCCTTCAGAGGACTGTCAGAAATATCTGGAGAGACTAGATAAAGCAGTGCATGAGAAAACAGATCTGATTAGAATACAAATAATAGCTGACTCTTATCTGTTTACACACATACTACTGCTTCGAAAGTGAAATGGTAATTGGGCGTGTTATTTTATCTTTGGCAATGCATAAATTTGTTATACGACATTGTGCATACGACATAACTCATTACCTAAGCAGGTGTTGTTGTTGACCTCATCTGCACTGAGTCCCAACTCTGAGTTTTGTCCTTCTCCTTCAACAATGCGCAGCTCCTCTTCAGATGTGTGTGTTTGAGACATCCCACTGGTGCATGCTTCTGTCTGAAACTGAGCAGAAGAAAAAAACAATTCTTGTATCATCTAGAAAAACGATGTAATGCCTGCAAGGCCAAACTACTAAAAAGATAATTGTAAAAATAAAATGAGAGGCACAACCAACCTTTTCAAACGCCTGATCCTCAAATGAAATCTTGGCAGTTCCTGATTGTCTCACACCAGAACCATAATCAGGAGCTTCTTCATCAGCTGTGACAATAAATGAAGAATTATAGCTGAATGTTACAGAACAGAGTATGATTTACTCATGAAAAATTAATGAAAAAAAATATATATATAATTGGTCTGAATAATAAGCCCTGTGGTATTAATTTTTCTTAAAAGGCACCTATGATGAAAATCATCTTTTGTTAGCTGTTTGAACAACAGTGTGTCTAAAGCCCCTTTCACACAGTGATACCGGTAAGTATCTGGAAAATTTCTGGAACGACTTTACCGATATATTCAAAAAAGCGCTGTTTACACAGGCGAGGACGTTACGGAAATTTTCCAGAAAAGAGCATTTACACATTCATTTCAAAATACCGGTAAATTCTGACATCATTCACCACAAATGAGCTTTAAACGGCTGTGCTTGTATTTGTAAACATTTGACTAAATTACAAACTCTGTGGATGATCAATATTGTGAACAACTTTCGCAGGATCACTTTCGCATGTCGAGATGTTTATAATATGTGCGTGTGCTGGCGCTTACAGGCTGTTTCACAGGCACACGCAAAGCTTGAAGGTAAACAAACAACGGCTTATCATAAGCATCTCATCGATGATTATTTACACAGTTGGCATTAAGAAGAACATATAAATGTGATCTGACTAACTAGCAGCTAAATGTGTCTGGAAAAATGTTCAAAGGCTTTTATTCTCCTAAACCGCGCGGACGTAAATGCGTCTGACTGTTGTGATTGCCGGTAATGTTACAACTTCTCTTTCCGGAAAATAGCCAGAACGAATTTACCGGTATTTTCCTGTTCACACATACAACCTTTCCGGAAAATTGCAATTTTCCGGAAAGGTCTGTATGTGTGAAAGGGGCTTAAGTATATTGTGTGCACAGTCATAACAGAGTGATATAAACACAACAAGTCTCCTTTTTAAAATTAGAAATAGAATCCAGTTGCAGTGATTTTGAGGCCCACCGCAACGTGACGTAGGAGTGCGGTTTTCCCTGCCCACAGTAAAAACACTATCTAATTCTTAACCGCTTTAATCACCACAGTTGCATGGTGTCAGTAAACACTAACATGTGTGTGTGTGTGTGTGTGTGTGTGTGTGTGTGTGTGTGTGTGTGTGTGTGTGTGTGTGTGTGTGTGTGTGTGTGTGTACTGCAAACAGCCATTTTGTGAGACTCATCATTTTGGAAAGGCTAATATAAAGGAGGGCTAAATAAAGAAAGAAAGAACAAATAAACGAATAAAATAAAGAAAGATCGAACGAACGAACGGAACAAACAAATGAAAGAAAGAAAGAAAGAAAGAAAGAAAGAAAGAAAGCAAGAAAGAAAGCAAGAAAGAAAGAAAGAAAGAAAGAAAGAAAGAAAGAAAGAAAGAATGTTTTCCAAATATAATAAAGACAATAAATCTATCTCAAAAATCTGTGGTACTTTTGGTAATATAATCTGGACACGGAGCAGCAAAATAAATAAATATATAAAATAATGACTAAAGATAACAAACAAATCAATAAACATTAAAAATACCAATGAAATAAAAAACTTAATAGGCCTGAATACTGAGCCTTGAGGTACTTCTTTTACCATTACAAAAATGACTAACAATACTGCTTTACTATTAATTATTCATGAAGCTTAATATGCCTTTTAGGATATCCATCAATATCAGTTCCCAGTCAGTTTTTTTTAAATCAAGTTAAATCATGAGGATGGTCTTACCTGATATGGCTTGTACTGCCACACGAAGAAACCCTTTGACCTCGCCTTTCTCACTTACAATGGCCACACGGTGCACTAACGGCACGGGGTACAGAAGATTACTCAGATACACAAATGCCCTGGGGGAGAAGAAGGAGAGGATGATGGGAAAAAAGAGGAGAGCCAGAGAAAATAAGAGGGATTTGAGACAGTTGATGGGGTGGAAAAAAAGAAGAAAAAAGAAGATTAACAATTAATGGAAAAAGAAGTTTAATGGGAAAAAATGTCAGTGAAGATCAAATCAGCCACACTGCCACAGGACAACACAACATCTGACACACACAAAAAAGCAACCAAACAAGAAGCTGCTCTAGCGAAAGCCAAACAGTGCCCTGTAGGTCTGCAGCTCATCTGTAACTAGCCTATTAGATCCATCATTCTCAAAAAAACGATACACAAAGTGATGGTAACAAGATTTTTGGCCTCTGTGGGGGTTGGTGAAGTGTTTCAAGAACATGCATATAGAGGAGAACTGCATCATAAGCTAGTTTACAACATATATTTTGACTTATTGATTGTCTAAATAGCCAAGTCAGACATTGTTGCACATTATATTAGCCAAGTTTTCAAACTGCTTTGTCACACATTTAGATTTTACGTGGATTCAGTAACTGATTGAAAGTATAAAATACTGTAATGATCTACGTCTTGTCTACATTTAAACTAAATTCATTCATTCACTTCATATCTGCCATCTTGATCCCAACGTGATGCTGGCCAAAGCTTGATTTGTGGGTTCAAGAGTGGCAGGAGGCGTGGCCAGAGGGGAGGAGCTTTCGACAAGATTGGTGAGGCGCAAATACAGCATGCTCAGATAAACAAAATGTTTTAGTGAGAGAAAATAAACTCCAAATTTGGCTTGTTGGGCCAAATGCAAACTGGAAAGCAAACAATTAAAATGACATTAACATACATGAGTTTGACCTCCATCAACTCAAAAGAAAAAACACAAGTTAAAAAATCTTGTATGTTGCATGTGCGCAGGGAAGTGAGAGTGTGAGAGCCAATCCAAAACCGTGATACAAATTTGTAGCTCTGGCATGCCTGATTGAGACTGCTGTAGTCGAAACCAGCTCTTTCATCTTGAGCGCTGTATGCTTTTCAGACAGAACAATCAGCTGATTTATGAAGATCACACAAACAACAAAACTTCTGCAGAGGACAGCCATTTCATTTCAGAAAACAGCAGACAAAAAAATCATTATGCTGCCAAACAATGCTGTATCGTTCGAAGCGAGCAGATTTGATGTGAATGGCTTGTTCTGTGCAGAGCTACCCATGTTCAAATGCCTTCATGTTGCCCATTGTAGGACACACATCCATTAGAGATCTGTCACCAGTGGTCTATTGTGATTTTCACAGTCAGTATTTGACTTTGCTAATACACACTGTGTGCTCAATTTCCTTTCATTCAGTTACTGAATACTTTGAAAACACTTAAATAGTCCTTATTAATACTGTATGGAAAAAAAAGAATGTTTATGAATAAGATTTTTTTATAAAACAGTAAAGAGACCTATCTATCTATCTATCTATCTATCTATCTATCTATCTATCTATCTATCTATCTATCTATCTATCTATCTGTCTGTCTGTCTGTCTGTCTGTCTGTCTGTCTGTCTGTCTGTCTGTCTGTCTGTCTGTCTGTCTGTCTGTCTGTCCGTCCGTCCGTCCGTCCGTCCGTCCGTCCGTCCGTCCGTCCGTCCGTCCGTCCGTCCGTCCGTCCGTCCGTCCGTCCGTCCGTCTGTCCGTCCATCCATCCACCCACCCACCCACTCAATCACCCACCCATCCGTCAGTCCGTCCATCTACAGTATCTATCTATCTATCTATCTATCTATCTATCTATCTATCTATCTATCTATCTATCTATCTATCTATCTATCTATCTATCTGTCTGTCTGTCTGTCTGTCTGTCTGTCTGTCTGTCTGTCTGTCTGTCTGTCTGTCTGTGTGTCTGTCTGTCTGTCTGTCTGTCTGTCTGTCTGTCCGTCCGTCCGTCCGTCCGTCCGTCCGTCCGTCCGTCCGTCCGTCCGTCCGTCCGTCCATCCATCCACCCACCCACCCACTCAATCACCCACCCATCCGTCAGTCCGTCCATCTACAGTATCTATCTATCTATCTATCTATCTATCTATCTATCTATCTATCTATCTATCTATCTATCTATCTATCTATCTATCTATCTATCTATCTATCTATCTATCTATCTATCTATCTATCTGTCTATCTCTGTCTATCTATCTCTGTCTATCTGTCTGTCTGTCTGTCTGTCTATCTATTATTACCTAATTCTATTGTATAATTCTCATTTTGTATTTTCTGTTACTTTATTTTATTTTCTTATTTTTTATTTACAAAATAAAAATGTAATCACAAATTAAAACTTTTAAAAATGTATTCATGAGCACTAATCACGAAAAATCATTTAATTGTAAATTATTAACTTAGTTAATCATTGATATTTCAGATAATTATAATATTTGCATATTTGCTATTCATTTATTTTTTATCTAATTATTTATTTACGTTGACATTATAATGCATCACTGTTTGCATATCTACACACATAATAGTTCATTCATTTTCTTGTCGGCTTAGTCCCTTTATTAGTCTGGGGTCGCCACAGCGGAATGAACCGCCAATTTATCTACCACAGTTTTACGCAGCGGGTGCCCTTCCAGCCGCAACCCATCTTTGGAAAACATTCACACACACTCATACACTACAGACAATTTAGCCTACCCAATTCACCTGTACCACATGTCTTTGGACTGTTGGGGAAACCGGAGCACCCGGAGGAAACCCACGCGAACGCAGGGAGAACATGCAAACTCCACACAGAAACGTCAACTGAGCCGAACCAGCAACCCAGCGACCTTCTTGCTGTAAGGCGACAGCACTACCTACTGCGCCACTGTGTCGCCACACACATAATAGTTTGGATCTAATTTCATTATGCATTATTATTTTATCATCAATAAATTAATTATGTTTTCATAATTGTTCTGTTACTAGTAAACATAGTCTATTTTATTTTATTATTTTCAGGCTAACAAAATATTATTAATCATGTTGTGTTTCTTTGATTCATTTAGAAGAAACTGGATCCAAAATCTTCTCACAATTTTTATTGATAAGATTAATAATAATAATAGATTATTGATAGATTACTAAATTTTCTTACATATTTATGTTGCCATAATAGAATAATCACAGTCCTTTGTTTGTTTGCTTATTTATTCAAATACAGAAATAGTAAAAAAAAAAACTGTTTAAAATCATCTTATTATTATTCATTTATTCATTTTCTTTTCGTCTTAGTCCCTTTATTAATCAGGGGTCGCGAGAGTAGGATGAACCGCCAACTTATCCAGCATATGTTTTACGCAGCGGATGCCCTTCCAGCTGCAACCCATCCATGGGAAACATCCATACACACTCATTCACACACACACTCATAAACTTTGGTAAATTTTTAGATTACCTAATTCACCAGTACCACATGTCCTTGGACTTGGGGGTGAAAACCGGAGCACTTGGAGTAAACCCACCCAAACACAGGGAGAACATGCAAACTCCTCACAGAAATGCCAACTGACCCAATCGAGGCTCACACTAGCGACCTTCTTGCTGTGAGGCGAACGTGCGAACCATTGCGCCACCGCGTCGCCGAATATTATTATTATTATTTTTTTTAATTATTATTATTAAATGCCATCCCAATAAAATTCACAGTATAATGTAGAGCACCAGAAGAAACACAAATATGATTTAACACAGTGTAAACACAGTGTAAAAAATACTGATTGTCATGAACATTTGCTTGAACTGAGATAACTAGAAAGCATTTACTAGGAACTAAACAGAACATTATCTAGCCAGTATCTACAGTGACCCCTGTCTGTTTACCATTCATCTGTTTGAATGTTCCAGCAGCAGCCCCTATCAAGTGTTTGCGTGTGTGTCTCAGTGTGAAAGAGCTAGTTTCCTCTGACAGCTTTGCTCTTGAAACCTCACCAACCTTCCCACTAAACTGAACAGAGGCCAGCGGTCGTAAAAGGGGTCCTGGCCATCGCTGACACCTGGGCAGCGCTCGCCCACACCATCATCATCATCCTCCTCCTCCTCTCTCCCAAGCTCAGAGCCATTGTCTTCCACAAAGATCTCATCGTCCAGGTCCTCCAGCTCCTCCTCCTCCACCTCCACCTTCCCATAATGCCGCTCATCGGCGAGTTCGGTTATGTCAGAGTCAGGGTCGGAAAGGGTGGGGGAGAGGGTAAGGCCACTCATGCGCTCGCTCATGCACGTGTTGAGAATGGGAGTGCTGGTGCAGCCGGAGACATGGGAACTGGGTTAGTACAACACCACACACACACATGCACACACACGTCAGAGGCTTCGCTGTGTGGGGGATTCTGTAATTGCAGGTGCATTTGGTGTTGTTTCTTGATGTTTTGAAGTGGTTATGTTTTCAGTTATTTGTAAACATTCACTTCAGGGATCACAAGATGCTGTAGGTCATAATGATACAATCATTTCTGCAATAAAAGTGTCATATAGCTGACAATCGTGATTTCTAACCATTTGGGATTTGTGTAGTTCGACTGGTAGATTGGTTCAATCCACAGAAATGCATGCATTGTTAAAATGTGTACGCAGAACAAACTGCAAATCATTTTATGAATATTTTATGCCAAGAAAAAGTTGTATATAATGGAAAATGTGTTTTTTTTTGTGTCAGAATTCGAGTGTATTGTCATCATGTATTGCTGTGAGATCAAAATATTTTTAATATAAAGAAGGTAACATTTTTACTATATTTTATCTTTAGTCATTATCCTACTTCTACAGCATTAAATTACCTAGAAATGTATTTTTGCTGATAAAATGTTTCCTAATATTATTTTATTATCAATTTATTTAATTATGTTTTCATAATTGTTCTGTTATTAGTAAACATAGTCTATTTTATTTTATTATAGTTTCAGGCTAACAAAATATTATTAATCATTTTGTGTGTCTTTGATTCATTTAGAAGAAACTGGATCCAAAATCTTCTTACTATTTTTATTGATAAGATTAACAATAATAATAGATTATTGATAGATTACTAAATTTTCTTACATTTTTTGTGTTGCCAAAATAGAATAATCACACTACTTTGTTTGTTTGTTTGCTTATTTATTCGATTACAGAAATAGTTTTAAAAGAACAGTTTAAAATCGTCTTATTGTTATCATTACTATTCATTCAATCATTTTCCTTTCGGCTTAGTCCCTTTATTAATCTGGGGTCGCCACAGCGGAATGAACCGCCAACTTATCCAGCATATGTTTTAGGTTCTACAACATTAAATGACTTAATTCATTTTTCCTGGTAAAAATGTTCATAAATCTGGACTTAACTGTGCTACCGTGCCTTTCTTTGTCATTATCTCCTACAGCATATAGGGTTAGGGTTAGGTAACTGTCCCTTTTCCTTGCTGATAGTATCTAAAGCGTTGAAAGGTATGTGTGCTAAAAAATATATATAATTTTACATATATAGAAAATATTTCAATCTTTAAAGTTCTTAAACCAAGAGTTATTTTGAAAAAAAAACGTCAAAACTGTTACCAGAGCATCTAAAGGAGTACAGAATTTAATACTCATCACACAGTAGTCTTTTATTTGTGAACATGACCTCTAGCATGTGTAGTTTTTGGCCCAAAAAAAGTTTAAAATGATCCAACCCAGGCTCATTGGAATTATGTGTCCAGAGCTACATTTCTAAGAACTGAGAAATATGTATTTGGACTACCTGTTCTTGCATTTCTTTTTTCACAAATCCACTAGAGCCCACTGTGTACATTTCTGACAATCTCAAATATGCTACTGGAGCACGTTCTCTCATACTTGCCATTTCTTGTTAATCCACCAGAGGCCACTGATGTACATTTCTGCCAATCTCAATCTTCATCTTGTGAGCATCTGTGCGAGAGAAGCCAGCCAGACTGACCCTTCCACCCCCTAACCATATTGGTCCCACCCAACCAATAGTGTTTTCAAAAGCAAACTAGAAGAGAAAAGCCTTTTATCACAGTTTCACACTGCTTTTGCTTTGAGTTTCATTTAACCTGGTTTTTTGAACCGTCCTTCACTGGACTTGAAACCTGGTCCTGCTCCACTCTATCTTCTAAGTCCGGCGCTGTAAGTGTCGAGCTACCGAGCAAACCAGTCACACCAGAAAAACTGCCCATATGAAGATAACCCTGGGCACATATTCTCTGTTCTCAAAAATGTTGCCCTGGGCACTATTCCCAAAAAGCCTGAGTCAAAATCATCAGTTATATTACTGTCAAACTCTGCTACTAAAGTAGATTAACAATGCTGACGACATTTACCAGAATCGCCAGTAACATGACATGATTCATTAAACTGAATAGGTTTTCAATAAGATATTGAAAATAAATCATTTTTGTAAATTTCTTTCCTTAACCTTTTGAAACACAAAATATATGTTGAATTATAGAATCACCCATATGTATGTGAAGGTAACCCAGCCTTGATTTTCCCAATCTGTGTTCAGCTAATGCTCTAGTGCTTTTTGTGAGCAGTGTCCAAGTCCAAAGTTTGGCTGCCCAAAGCTCTCCATTCAACTCAACAGTGAAGGAAACCTTGTTAAAAGCACAATGCAAATCATAGGTAGTTTCCAGTGATATTCAGTGGGGATAGCAGCATCCACTTGGCACAGCATGTGAGTCCGACATATTGCATACTCACCGACCAACCAGACGGAACCATGGAAAGCGGTCGTAGAAAGGGTCGCCACCGGACATGATATGATCACAGTCTTCCACAGCCGTACTGGGCACTTCTGCTGCTCGGTCATACATTTCTCTCATCAAATCTAGTCTTTGTCTGCAGAGATAATAGCAATGTTTTAGCTATTTTAAAATAGGACATTCTTTTTTAAATATATCATTTATCATAGGTTGCACTGTTTTTGAAAACATTTACTGCACTAGTCACACCATGGGCCCTATCATACACCCGGCGAAATGTGGTGCAAGGCACGAGGCAATTGTTATTTGCTACTTTCAGCTCGGCGCAAGAGTCGTTTTGATGTGTTACGCCATGCTGTTTAAATAGCAAATGCATTTTCACTCATATGTGTGCCCATAGGCGTTCTGGTCTAAAAAAGCAGGAGTGTTTTGGTGCGTTGCTGGCGTGTTGCTATTTTGAGAAACTATAATAGTCTGTTCTTTAGACCAGAACAAAGCCGGTCTATTGTCTGGGGCAGAGTGCACCTGGCTTACACACTGTTTTATACTCACAAGATGTAGAGCAATACGCAAATATCTTTACATATGAAAAAGATATAAAATATTAAGGATATATATATAGGATATAAAAAGGATATATATAGGATATAAATATAAAGGATTAAAATATTACAAAACATATTATTTTCTAGCCTACATGAATTTAAAAACCACTGATACTTTCTTTATCTCGGGAGGCTTTTTCAGTTCATTCAATTTGCTTTTGTATAATGTTATCATTATTAGCAGTATTATTTATTATATGCATATTTATATTTGTTTCATAAAAATAAGCTTAGATTTGTCCACCGATCAGGTTTTAGACCATATGGAGCACAGCATGTGTATTAGGATATAACTCAGGTTTTTGAACACACTTCGTTATTTTTGTAATTTATTAGTTTGCTAGAAATTAGAACTGAATTTAGGCTAATTGATGTCTGTGCGTACAAGGTTTCCCTATCCACGAGAGCGAAAGTGAAACCAGATTATGAGATGCTCAGTTTTTCCACCTACATTTACTTTACGTCGTGTAAATAGCAAATGCGCTTATGGCGTGACGCAACTGGCTCTTAAAGGGAATGGGAGATGAGACTCTGATTGGTTTATTCTCAAAACACAGCTATAACTCATTAAGAAAATAAACTCAACCATTTTAGACCATGCGCCACGGCGTAAAGTGGATTTTTCCGTCCTTATATTAGCAAAAGAGCATTCTGACACGCCCTGAAAGCGTTTGCGCTCTGCGCTTTGCCAAGGATCGTCAAAATAGAGCCCTATAATACAGTGAACCAATTCACTGCTGAATCATTTGACCCTGAACTAACCAACTCATTAGAAAAAGGAACATATTTAGTAGCAGCGTTGCATCTTTTAACTGGTCGCTTAATTCTGATTCATAACTGCAGTGCTTGACACACTTCTGTGGGCATTACATGCACATTATGTAGAGCTGAAGTCATAAGCTCTTCTTTGAAACTTTTGTTTCTTTTTTCAAATATTTACCAAGTGCTTTTTAACAAACACATTTTTTACAATATTTTTAATAACAATGTTTTAAATAATATTTTTAATAGCTGTTTTCAACTTAATATTTTTTTCAAATATTTCCCAAGAGCTGTTTAACTTTTTTTGAATAACTTTTAATAACTGCTGCATAACGCAGCAGCACGAGTGGTCTTCAATGAACCTAAACGAGCACATGTCACTCCGCTGCTAGTCCGTTTGCACTGGCTGCCAGTTGCCGCTCGCATCAAATTCAAAGCTCTGATGTTTGCCTACAAAGTGACTTCTGGCCTTGCTCTTTCTTATCTGCTCTTACTTCTGCAGATCTATGTGCTCTCCAGAAACTTGCGTTCTGTGAATGAACGTCGCCTCGTGGTTCCATCTCAAAGAGGGAAGAAATCCCTTTCGCGAACGCTCACGCTCAATCTGCCCAGTTTGTGGAATGAACTCCCTAACTGCATCAGAACAGCAGAGTCACTCGCTATTTTCAAGAAACGACTAAAAACTCAACTATTTAGTCTCCACTTCACTTCCTAATCTGCAATTGCCTCTCTGAATATCACACTAACTGTACCCAAAAAAAAAAGAAGAAAAAAAAAATACTAATACTACTAATACTTTCCTTCTTAGACTTTACAGACCTGAAACTCGCCTATAGCACTTATTCATTGTTGCTCTTAGTTGTGTAAATTGCTTCCTTGTCCTCATTTGTAAGTCGCTTTGGATAAAAGCGTCTGCTAAATGACTAAATGTAAATGTAAATGTAACTATCTTCTAGTACCTACTTTATTTTCCCTCTGCCATCATGACAGTACATAATATTAAAACAGTTCATTATATTTTATTAGTATTTTGCAAGATAATAGCAACCAGCTAAGAGCTGGTTAAAGAGCTGGCTAAATTTTTATTCCATTTATTATTCCAACCAAACTAAAAACAATATGACATTCTACAGAAGAAGAAAAATATTTTCTGAAATACTGTTAACATTTACTTGCACTGTTAAACATCATTTGGTAAATATAAAAAAAAAAAAATTATTTCAGAAGAGGGTTAATCCTTTTTACTTCAACTGTATACTTAACCTCATTGTACCTGAGTTTGTCTAGGGTCCAATAGTGTGTGGCACCATTTTTCTGGTCCTGCACCTCTACTGCTACAATGGTGCGAGGAAACAGCCGTTTCTCTCTGTCTTTGGCTATGCTGGGTGGCAGGAGGTCAGGGGGCAGCGGGGAGTACAGCGTGTCTGTTAACAGCACAAACTGAAACTGAACCTGCAGACGAAAGAAGCAAATGTTAAGCAAATTCATTCTTGGGAATTCAGTGGGATTCAATAAAGTCTAACACAACCATTAGGATTGCCGAAAATGATTTTGGCGTACCTTTTTCTTCAGCTCCACACTTATGGCATTAGCCTCCTTGAGGAAAATGGCATTTCCCCAAAGCAGGTCTCTGAGAGAGGTGAACTGATAGAAACGCCATTTCCTGAAAGCCCAGAGGGCTAATTCCGTCTCTCGCTTTGTCCATGGGACTGCAGGAGCAAAAATATAAACCCATTTAAAATGAGGTTAAGCATCTAAACACTCTTTACAGAATATGACCACCTGAGATGTTTGACATGTCTGGATCAGATAATGCCTAGAAGTCTTAAACAGTTACCCACCTTCATCTTCTAGCTCCTCCTCCTCCTCTGTCGTTTCTGGGTAATATCTGGAGTTGACCTGTTTCTGAAGAGCTTCCAGCTTACTCTCATAGTCCTAAAAAAAACAATGTTAAATTTGCTTTCATTGCTTATTTTTACATTGTCAACCAAAGATAATAGACGGAATACCTGGAGTAATAATTAAATAATAATAAAAACACATAGTTCACCCAAAATGAAAACAGCAATTAAGAAAGCATTTTATAACAGTGATGTGCCACAAGCTCTTCAATTCGGTGCTTAAGTAAAGTCATGTCACATTTATCAGTCAACCTGTCCTCCAATCTACTGTATTTTTCTGTTATTTTGCTATTATTTTACAAATCATGGCTTAATTAGTGCTCTGACTTTTACTTTAAGTACGACAATACATTACTTTGAGTAATCCTGGTTTTTCTAAAGTTTTTTTTTTCACTTGGTGAAGTTTGTTTCTTGCCGCTGTTGCCACTGGCTTGGTTCGGGACCTGTGGAGCTGCCCATCGTTTGATTAAGTAGAACTTTTTCTGAGTTGAGCTGCTTTGAATTTAAAAAAATTATTGGGGAAACCCACATGAACCCACGTGCAATCTCATAAAAAAGAAATATAGAGCAGGAACTCCCAGCTGGGACTCGAACCATACCCTCTTGCTGTGTGCTGATCAAAGCAAGCAGCTTCACAACATTAGACAAAAACAGTGTCAGTATATGTAGAATTATATTTCAATTTCAACTATGCATTTAGTCAAGGAAGTCTGACCCTGATGAACTGAGCAAATAAAATGAACTTGAGAAGATTTCTACATCAAAAAAAGGCAGGGCGCCAGGGCATCAACTACCTATTATGTGATCACCAAAGACCAACGGTAGTTTAGATGTATTTAGAAGCTGTTAGTCTGTTTCTGGAAAATTTGTTTGTTTGATAAGAAGTTTCAAAATCCTGAAATGAAGTAAACGAAATATTTGTTTTGCCTTTATGCCTGACAAACTAAGCAACTGATGGCAGAACAATAGTCTAAAATGACTAACCAGTCTCTGCTGCTCCAGAAGGTTGCTTGCTTCTTCTCTCTCTTTACGATACTGGTCCTCCAGCTCTTGTAATCTGCAAATGACACAGGCACCAATGTAAAACCACAAAAACTATCAAACGCAGGTGATGCCTACAAATTGTGGGTGCTCTTTGATATAATTATAAAGGATGATAAAAATGTAAGTTATACAGTTGGAGTCAGAATAGGGTATATGCCAAGCTAGAGTTTTTCCTATACTGATAAACTTCCGGTGACCTGTTATTGTGGACTTTTTTCCATTTTATCTGGTTCCTTTTACAGCATCGAAGTTGTAATGTCATTAAAATACATTCAGTTAAATAAACTTTGCCATTCATTTAGTTGCTCAAGCGTAAAACGAGACAAAAAGCCGTTTACTCGCACTCGCCTGTCAGGAATTGGCAGGCTAGCGCAGAAACTCTATTGAATATACTGGGGAAAATAAATGCTCATATTATAAAGACATGGCGGGGGAAAATGTAATTTAATGCAGTGCCTCTTGTACAATCTGAGACCCACTTTATATCGGATATCACTATAGTGGAGATTGCTGAATTTTTAAGAAAACAGACCCTAAACGCGCCGAATTTTGCATTGGCATACAGTTCGCCAGAAGCGCTTAACTCAGGTTACTGGCAAATTAAAAGTCCTATTAGAATGCTTCAGCATTTACCCTATTATTAGCCCTCCTAAATTATTAGCCCCCCTGTATATTTTCCCCAATTTCTGTTTGACAGAAAGAAGATATATTACTTTCAACACATTTCTAAACATAACAGTTTTAATAACTAATTTCTAATAACTCTAAATATCTCTTTTATCTTTGCTATGATGACAGTGCGTGCTATTTTACTAGATATTTTCAATATACTATTATTTAGCTTAAAGTGCAATTTAAAAGCTTAAGTAGGTTTATTAGGCACGATATAGTAATTAGACAAGTCATTGTTTTATAGTTCGTTCTGTAGACAATCAGAAAAATATTGCTTGAGAAGGCTAATAATATTGACCACCTTTAACTGTTTTATTTTTTTCTTAATTTCTTAAACTGCTTTTATTCTAGCTGAAATAAAACTACTTTCTCCACATGAAAAAATATTATAGGAAATACTATGAAAAATGTATACTAGTTTAGAAGCACAAAAGTGCCACGAACAGAAGTGCTACCTCTGATCCATCTCTTGCTTCATGTCAATGCCTTGTTTCTCCAGTAGTTCTCTCTGAGCAAAGGCCCAGTCCACCGGCTCCACTGGTGTGTCCGCACATGGAGTCCTCTCTCTGTCTTGCCTTGCTTGCTCTGGGTCATTGAAGCGGAACACGTGGCTTTTGCCCATAATGATACGGTTACCTAATAAAAATAACAGAGGGGGTTAAGACATCCAAAAAATTGTTTGATAGAATGAGACTGGAAACAGATAAGCTACCTGATTTGAGAACTGTGGGCTCTGTAACTCTCTTGCCATTAACATAAGTCTCTGCTCCCTCACAAGGCTCTAGGACCACCGTACCCTCTCCAATGGCATTTGTGGTACTTGTGAAGATACAGTGTTCGTCTTTGATGAAGTGGCCACTTAACACAATGTCCTGCCGACTGCTGGCATCCTCACGACCGACCCTGCAGAGGTAAACGTCTTGTCACAGCACTTAATAATAAAACCCAAGCATGCTCTTTTGTTCATTTTGATTTGAGTTTATATTGTCATGCGAGTCATTTTTAAGAAATAAAGATAATTTTTTAATCCATATTCTGATATTATAGCATTAAATCTCTTTATTGCATTTTCTACTACTAATCATAGATGTACTGTATCAGGCCTTCTAACACTAACAGCTTCAATTCCATTATCTTTTTCAGATTAAAAATGTTTCATATTCTCAATCCAACACTATTCTACTCTCTAATTTATCTTAATCATTTGTAAAGTTCTACAATAAACATTGTAATATATTTTGTTGTATATGTTCTTTGTTGTATGCAAAAATATTGTAGCTTTCTATCAATAACACTCCCATTTCTGTTTTCAAATCTATCATCTGTCATGTTTTTCTTTAAAAAAAAAAAAAAAGAAAAAATATATTAAGTGACTTTGGATCAAAACATCTGCCAAATGATTAAATGTTATTACTTGGGTTGAACTAATGCCATTGTTAAGGTTAAAGCTGTGTGTACAAGTGTTGAGGAGCTAAGCATTATTAGATGGACATTTTTTTGTTTATTTGTTCAAAATAAAATGACAAAATATTTAAAAGTTAAATAAAGCAACTTAAAATTATCCAATTAAAAAAAATTGTACTTCAATCATTTAATTTCATATACTGTATCTGCCCTTTGTAATGTCTGTAAAATAAACAAAAGTCTTACTTGGTGATTCCATCTTTAATGTAGTACAACAAGCACTCAGACATGAGAGGATCTTCATTGAGGTTGACCAGGTGGGGAGTCTGAAACAATCAAATCATAAAGATGTTTGTTGAAGCACACAGTTAAAAACCTTAAAGTACAGTTAAATTGATTTAAAAAAATTTCTTTAAGCAAGACTTAAACTTGATTTTATTCTTTTTAAAGCAACAAAAGTCCTTCGGTCATGAGCAGTCAGCAGTGCCGTAGCGCAAAATGCGGGGCCATTTATTCATTCATTTGTTCATTTTCTTGTTGGCTTAGTCCCTTTATAACCCGCAAACTTATCCAGCATATGTTTTATGCAGCGAATGCCATCTGCAACCCATTACCAGAAAGCACCCATACACTCTCATTCACACACATACATTACGGACAACTTACTTTACCCAATTCACATGTACCGCATGTCTTTGGACTTGTGCGGTAAACCGAAGCACCCGGAGGAAACCCACGTAAACACTGGGAGAACATACAAACTCTACACAGAAATGCCAACTGACCCAGCGGAGGCTCGAACCAGCGACCTTCTTGCTGTGAGGTGACAGCACTACCCACTGTGCCACAGCACCACCAAAATAATCGTTTAATCTCGATTAAAGTTTTCATAATTATTAGAGGCCAAAATCTAAATTGAATTTCGTCTAATTGCACAGCCCTACCTCTTCGAGCCACAGTTTTAGCCCAAAATAATCCTTAATTGAATCCTGAAGAACTGTTTAGTGATTTAACTCAGTACAACACACTTTATTGACATTTAACATGTATATGACTTTACAAACAATTTTTAGAATTGAAAAGAACATTTTACCTTTTTTGGCGAAAAGACTCCAACCGTTCCTCCATCTTCCCTCATCGCCACACCCATTTCAGCCAAAAGTGCCTCCCTAATGACAACAAACAAAGTTTTATTTTTGAAAAAAATAGAATAATTTCAGAAACATTTCCAAAGTCTAAATCTCTCCCAGCAGTACCTTTCCATTCTAATGGCCTCAGTGCGGCGAAGCTTCTCTTCCCAAGTTTCATTGAGCTCCGCGATTATCTTCTCAGTTTCCTAGTACGAATAGATGTCAATGTTAAAAAGATCAGCGCTGGCACTTATTCATTTATACCATCCACCCAGACATCTCCTTATCCACTCTCTTACCTTCAGCCTCTCGATGGCTTCCTCGCTTCCTGGGCTGAACATGATCCGGTCATGCAAGCTGCTGATGGATCCCACTCGGCTGGTCAGGGCGGACAAAGAGGGCGAGGGGCTCATCCCAGTCATGGCATTGGTCACTGTGGAGAAATCACCCCTTTGATTGACAGCCTGGATGCTACTGATATTAGCCTTGTAATTTGACAAGTCTGGGCAACAAGTGGGAACAACAGGTTGGAGAGTCAAAGGAGAAAGTTGTGGTAAGAAAAAAGGAAAGCCATGGAAACAGAAAAGAAGGGGAAGGAGGCAGAGTAGAAAGAGTCAAACGTAAAGATAAAACAGCCAATTAAAAAAGTCATAAAGCTGCAGGACACAACGGCATCAATTTGAGGACTTCAAATGCTGTTTTGTTTTTCACGTCAATCAGAGCATCGAAGACATGATCTGTAATGGATTTTTCTGCCATGCCTCAAATTCACCGGACCATGCTTGAGATAATGAGCATGGAGATGATCTGTGACTGCACAGACCGCATGCCTGTGCTTCACTTAGAGGCAAATCCCAAGCAAACCTCTGGAGCGCTTCTGGACCATCAGAGCAGCAGCGTAAGATAATTATGTTGCCTATCAGGCTAATTAGTTAATTAAAATAAATTGATTAGAAACTGCACAGCATAGCACAGCTCTGGTGGTCCAGAGCTTCCTGCTTAGCTTTCACAGGGGTCGGCAACATTAGCAAGGGTCAATATTGGCACACGCTTTGAGAAATTACAGAGGACTGACTGTAGTATCATTTGCCTGTTATTAAATATTGAGTTAAAAAATTAAACTCTAATCTTTAATCTGTTTAAAAAACACCTGTAAAACAACAGATGCGACTTTGAGAATAAAAATGTTGTCTAATCAGAAAACAAATTTGTGTTTCAAAGAACAGGTTTTTGAAAATGATGCAGTACCATTCTATTAAAACACAATTTTCCTAAATCCTTGACTTAAGTAATAGCAGAATGGTTTGTCCTAACCACTTCATTAATGCTAGATATCTTAATATCTACCTATAAAGTAACTGGAGGAAGGGAGATGAAAAGAACTGTTTATTTAGTTTTAGTGTCAGTTTGTTAGCTAGCAGTTTAGCAAGCTGCTAGTTATACAGCTAATAATGTAAGCTAACTTAAGCACTAGGAATAGTTAGCGTAACTAGCAAAATCCCTTAGCTTGTTTCCTATCTTCAGCTATGAAACCAAACCAAATCAATAACAACAAATATAATGCTTTATTTAACCTTACCTGATATGAAGTGTGCTGTACATCCTAGCATTTTTATTATCATTTTTTTGTTAATTTTGCTTCTTTATTTGTGCTTAACCATAGTTGTTGTTTTCTTTCTTTTCTTTTTTCCCATCTGGAAGCAGTTATGTGTATACATTTTATACAGGACCCTGAATTCTTTCTATTCTGGCATCCAACAACACAATAATATGACATTTTAAGTATTCAAATAGGCTTTAGGTAACCACAAACAATAAGGAAAGTTTACCAGTTATGTTTTGTGCCCAGTGCTGTCTGAATTTTAAATGGAAACCATTTATTTTTCATTTATACACCTCTATACATGCATGTGGCATCTGTGTTGTGTATTTTTATGTGGTGATGTGTTGTGAAGCCAGAGACAAATTTTTACAGGGTAAACTCAACTCAACTCAAATATGTGCTGCTTTGCAATGTCCACCTCCAGTTTTCCCTTTCTTCACCTACAGCTAATTCTGTGATGTTAATGTAACATTGCCACTAAAAGGACCTACAAGCATAGAACTTAAGTGAAACAACATGGCCTGGCATGCATAACACAGCATTTTAGTCACTATTACTGATCTTTGTGAATTAAAAACTGATCCACATAACAGTGTCAAATATTTGCCCTGTTAGTCCAAAAAAAAGTTGCCGACCCCTGGGTTATCACAAGCTGTGAAGCATTTAGCATGTCACAATACACACATTTGAGAGCAGATATCCCTGGAGCGTGTGCACGATATGCTGAGAGAGACAAAGAGAGAGAACAAATCCTTCAGACACATTCCTAGAGCTGTCTGACCCTCGCGTTCTGATAATGAAAGCTTACAGACAGTGTGCTTCATTTTCAAGAGAATTTGAAAGAAAATTGGTAATTTTAAGGAACGTTCCACAGACTGAAGTGTATTACAGGCGACTCACTCTCAATGATGTCTCCGAGACCCTGAGCATAAAGCAGATCCTTCAGACGAGCCACCTCTTCCTTCAGCTCACGCACCAGCCGGTTGTTGGGGTCTTCGTTGATGACGGCGTTGCAACGGATCTGCTTGGCTCGGTCAGCATACCTGTGACAGTGATACTGCTATTACTGTATCTATCCAATACACTATCTGATTTAGATAAACATCAGAAAAGAAGTTTGATGATCAAAATGAGCATTAACTCATAAAAACATCTGATGACATCAAGAGGAAATACAAAAAAAAATCTAATGTCAATTTTTTTAAAGGGCATCTATTATTCCCCTTTTTCATGAAATTTAAAATAAGTCTCTGATGTCCCTAAGTTGTGTATGTACAAAGGTTTCAGCTCAAAATACCCCACAAATCATTTTTATAACTCTTTGAATCTGCCCTTTTTATGCTTTGATGCTGTTTAGGTGACTGTCCCTTTAAATTCAATTGAGATTGTGCTCTTTTCAAAAGAGGAAGGAGCAACAAATACCTATGCTTTAGCACAGTGGCATATTCAAAACAGAACTAACATTATCTGTAAAAAAACGAAAAAGCCAAAAGAAGTGGCTCAGAAGAAGGCGGATATTGGAAACAACAGTGTTAATTTGTGCACCCAAAAACTCAATTATAATCCTGTTATGCTGAGTTCAGATTGCATGACTGTAGTCTCAATTTTGACTTGGCCACAGGTTTTGAGAAATCGCAGACAAATGCTTGAAACCACAGGCAAATCAGTACTCATTCAGGCGGATAAAAATCTCACAGTGTGAACTATCAAAGACGCCATCTGAGAGAATCGCAGATAAATTGTCAACACCCTAGAGATATTTGGCATGCTAAATATCTGGACCTGCCGGCGATTCAGATCATGCCGTGTGAAATTCAGATCATGCTGTGTTCTGATTGAAAATAACATTGACGATAACCTACAGCTAATGAGAGAGAAGCTTCCATTAGTATGGGTATCTGCAGGCCAGCGGGGGGATGGGGGGAGGTTAAGATGGCTTCTTTTCAGTCTATTTGGATCCAAGAAATTAAGGAAAAACTAGTGGAGATTTGGCAGCAGCCCCTTTGTCTTGTTGATGTGTCATCTGAGCAATACCACAACCGGGTCGGAAAAGAAAAAAGTTTGAGACAAATTACTAATTGCCTTGAAGACCCAAATGAGAAAAATAAACACATTTTCTACCCCACTAAAAGCTTCTTTCTCATTATGTAGTTAATAACAAAACATATACTACGTGACCTTGCATTATTTCCATGTTATTTCTCGTGTGTGTTTGGTTGTCAGACATAGTTTGTGGATCAAGACAATGTTGTCGTCGATTCTTCCAATTGTAAAGTCGAGTAGTGTAAAACCCCCTGTCGCCAATCCATCCTACAGTGTATACACGGCAGCGACAGAACGCTACCCTGAAGAAAACATCTGTGACACAATTACTTTGAAAATAGTGCAGTCTGAACTCGGTCTTCAGTATCAGAAATTAAATTTTAGCAGGTAGGGTGGGAAAACTCTAATGGTGGATGGCTGCTTCTTACTCAGGGCTGTCTATGCTAATGAGGGAGCGATTGCCACTAATGGCCGGGGCTTTTCCCCTCCAATGACATGTACAAAAAGAGAATGCCAATCAAAGTGTCTCAGCAGACTGTTTTTATGATGTGTGATTATAAAATAAATTATTTATTTATTTTTAACCATTTGAGGCTGGCTATATTCTCACACAACTGTGTTTAAACCTCCTATAAAAGTGATTTTTTGCGTAATAGGTCCCCTTTAAATGATATCATGATGAATTATCATTTCAGAGTGGATCATCTAAGCGCAGAAGAGTGGCATCTGAAACACTGAGAGGGAGCAATCACGTAAATGCATATAATACTTCCAGCTAGAAACATGGTATTATTCTTAATTATTTTAACCCACCAAAAAAAAAAAAACATCTTGCTGCTACAGTACAACAACAAAAATTGCAGCTACACAATGTACAGATGACAAAGCATTGAAAAATCGTAAATAAACAAAACAAAGGGAACAAAACATATAAAAATGCCCAGACCTAACATTACATATTAGAAAACTCAGCATCACAGGCTTACAAATAGGTCTTAGATCATCCGATATGGACACCATTTCAGATGTATTACTGCTAATGTAAACACATTACCACAAAAACCACACCAAACGCAATTTAAATGTTGTAAAAGTACCAATTCATTTACCAGAATAACAACCTGACAACCCAACTGTGAGCTGCAGTTGTCTTTATGACATGTGGAATCTCTTTTACATTGGGCTGGGTGAACGCACCTAAAAACCAGTCAAAACAGACTGTCCTTAACTAAAATATTGCTATTTTTGGAAAATGTATTTCTAAATAGCAATTTGTTTGATTACAATCCTTTTTAACATTATTGGTAATCAGAGGGAGTGTCATCCCTGGCACAGGTGGACTATCCCTTCAAATGGAAATGAAACAAGTCTTGTGTGTCACCTTAGGTCAATCGTCTAATATACAGACTTTATGGCATTATGTGGTTCTTACCTGAGTGTGCTGAGTGTTTCGTCGTAGTTAATATCAGCAGGGCTTAGAGCTGCTACCATAGCAGTGCGTGAGTTTCCTCCTAAGAAATGAAAACCAAGACATTTTTGATTATTGACTACAGTGTTAAACCCTTACACCGATAATTGCTAAGAAGGTGCTTGAACCCTCATACCAAGGTTTTCTCTCAGAAGCCATGTCAAAACGGAATCTCTGTATGGAATAAAGCTCTCAACTTTCTTCTTCTTCTTGTTCTGTTGGGTGAACAGAAAGGATGCCAATTTTTAAAGCTGCAACCATAATGCTTGATTAATGAAGAAAGATCAAACCGATCCTCACCTTGTTTGGTGCGGAGTCCTAAAAAACAGAGGAAAGCATTTTTAAGCATTTTAAATGTTACTAACACTCGTTTTCACATTTAAACTGAAATTCAGGGGGACACTTTATTTTGATGGTCCATTTGAGTATTAGTAGACTGTCTGCTTAATATGTAATGCAATGTGTATTTATTTAGCGCATTTATTGTGTATGGCCATACACCCGAAGCACTTCACAATCATGAGGGGGGTCTCTCCACACCACCACCAGTGTACAGCATCCACTTGGATGAGGCGAGGGCAGCCACAGGACAACAGCGCCAGTGCACACACCACACACCCACTATTGGGGGAGTGGAGAGACCGTGATAGAGCCAATTCGGTGGATGGGGATGATTGGGAGACTATGATTGTAAGCCGATTGAGGGACTTTGGCCAGGACAAATGATACTGCTCCTTCAACAAACATTTAACTGACTATAACATGATTATACACATGTCAACATACACTAACCCTAAACCCAACCTAACAGTCTACTTATAATCTAATGAGAATTAGTTGCAATGTAACTTAAATTCAACAAACGGACCATCAAAATAAAGTGTGACCAAATTCAGTTCTTACCATCTCAGCCAGTGCAGAGATAACTTTTCCGAGTGTTGTTAAAGATTTGTTGATATTGGCTCCTTCCTAGAAAATGGACCAAGCATGTAAGTTTATCGGATACACTAATCTAAAATTTCAAATTCTCATGAAACTCGGTTGAACTCAGTGTAACCCCACCTTAAGTCTAGTGCCTTTGGCTCCAGTAGAATCAGCCCTTTCGCTTCCTGCCAAGTCGACCAGGCTGATTTTGCTGACCTGTTTGAAAAACAGAAATGTTGTGTCTCAGAACGATAAAGCGCTCTAATGCACAAACACTACCAGCAACTTCAGTCTCTGTCAAACTGCCAACATACATCAGTGATGTTCCACCTGCAGAGTCCACTCACCTGCTTTTGCATTGTAGACTATTTCTGAACATTCTCTCATATAGAACAATGCTACACTACAGGACGGCTTACCTTTTCAGTGGTGTTTTCACTGTCGTTGTCATGTTGTTTCTGTGTGAAGATGATGTTGAATACAGCATGAGAGCGGCTGCTGGTCTCGTTCATGTTGGTGGCTGCCACCGTTCTGAGAGCAAACAGAATGGTGTGCAAGAGTGGTAAATATTTTTTTGCAAAATATTTGTAAACATTTTTTAGATTTTTTTGTATGTAGTGTATATGTGTGAATGATTGTGAATAGATGTTTCCCAGTGATGGGTTGTGGCTGGAAGGGCATCCCCTGCGTAAAAACGTACTGAATAAGTTGGTGGTTCATTCCACCATGGTGACCCCAGATTATTAAAGGGACTAAGCCGAAAAGAAAAATAATTAATGATGAATGAATTTCAAACACAATGGTAAGTCAAAGTGCTTTACATGAACAAGAATAAAAGAAACAAGAAAACAAACGATTAACAGAATTAAAAATGATTAAAAACTAATTAAAATGTGTTAAACAGGTTATAAAAGAATGAAAAGAAAAGACATAATAGTGCAATCTGTCGGACATAGCACAGTGCTCATTCGGTAAAGGCACAGCTAAACAGATGTGTTTTAAGCCTTGATTTGAATGTACCTAATGCTGGAGCACATCTGATCATTCTGGAAGCTGATTCCATCAATGGGGACGTAGTAGCTAAAAGTGGATTCATCCTACTTTGAATGAATTCTTGGAATTTCTATTTTACTTGATCCTAATGATCTGAGGGATCTGTTTGGTTTGTATTCATTGAGCATATCTGTAATGTACTGATTGTCCTATAGTCAACATTACACATTAGGAAATATTGACCATATTTGGAATGGTTAAGAATATTAATGTGCTCTGTTCTAATTCTCAGCAGCTTGTGTCAGTGCCTGTTTACACACAGTGAAACACACATTAAAACTAATCATCAAACATATTTAAGCTAAGTAGATAGCAGAGGGCATGAAGTTTAAGTGTATTATAAATGGTTAATGGAAAAGATGGGCTGTGGTTTCCATTCTGTGCTTAAAACTGTTTGGAGTAAAGATCTAAACTGTACATTTAGCAATGAACATTAGAAGAAATTTTCCAAAACTGTAATGTCAAGAAAGAGGACGCTTAATACAAATAGAAATTTTGAATTGTTTTTATTGGACCCCGAGTAGGCTTTTTAGGCTTGGGTTGAAGGACTCTGAATGCTGGAGATGTGAGAGCGAAGAAGGAGACTTGACGCATGCCCTGTGGTCCTGTTTTAAAATACATTCAGGATGTTTCTGGATGCTGCTTTACATTTTGTCCTGAAATATATGTACTGGGAGACCCATTTGTGTTGGGGTCTGATGTGAAGATGTCTAAGTGGATTCAAATAAGTATTATAATTGGAAGACAAATCATTATGAGGATATGGCATTCAGCAGGTCCACCATCATTTCAAGAATGGTGTACGGAATTGGGAAAGGTGCCAGCACATGAAAAATTATATATATACTGCTTGATAAATTGGATGTTCATCAGAAAAAAAAGGGAAATTATTTGGCATTTTTGGAGGATGAATAAGGTTACTGTGGTGAGACGCACGGTAAAAGTGTAATTATCTTATTTCATTTATTTCTGTATTAATATTATTGTGTTTTAAATTATTTTTTTACTATTATTATTTATTTAATTTATATTATTTATCTATATTTACTGGATTTATGATAGCAACATCTAATTACTGTAACTGCCACTGTTGAGAAGGAGAGAAAGGGGGTCTTAAAATAATGTAAAAATGTGTAAAACAGCAGTACTGTTAAAGAAAAAAATTTGATTAATAAAAAAAACGTATATTAAGTAGTTTACATGTGTTTGTTGCCTTATTACAAACATGCAAATGAATTTTTTTTTTGCCTAAATTTAAGGTTTGACATATTCCGCCTTTTTGTTAAACTGTTAAAGCACCTCATTATTGATTTTCTGGAGCTCAACCACAAGTAGTGACGCTACTAGTCTAACTACATTTCGCGGTAGCCTCACTACTTTCTAAATCAAACAGGTTTAATATAATATTATAGTATATAATTATAGTATCATATCCTATAATTAGTTTCTGTGTAGTACAGTATATTATTGAATATTTGAACTGAACAATTCTGCCTCAAGTTTCATTAACAGCTTCATTGATCAATAAGATGATTAACTTGGATTTAAGTTGCTTTGATTTAAAAATGAAAATTGAAAAAAATGCTTAAATGTAGCTAAGCTACATTTTTGCCAAGTAGATTTTAGTTTAGGTTGCTACATTTCCCAGAGGGTAGCTATTACTGTAGTTAAGCTACATTTTAAGTAGAGTATCTAATAGCTTAGCTCCCTACATTTTTCAAGTAGCTTGCCCAACACTGCACTACAACAACTGTCAACACTCTTTCAACAGGTCAATGATTTCCTTCTAAAGATGGCTACACATTTTAATATTTCAATTGTTTTCCTATAGTCATGTCTTTTTCTGTTTTAGCTTAATTGAAAATGTAAGGTGCAGTAAAGGTTTCCTCTCTTCTCTTCTCCACTAGGTAACAGACTGAATTTATGATCTATATCATGAGATATAAAAATGGATGGATTGTCCACAAAAATATCTGTCACCTGGCTTTGTTTCCAGAATCCATCAGGTCCTGGATGTCATTGTAGGAAGTAACAGCCAGTTTTGACAGGTCCTCCACGTAGGGTCCCATCAGAGGATGCTCTCGCACACGCAGATTCCCCTTGTTCTTTGGGTTCAGAAGGTCCCGTACGCGCTCACAGTAGATCTCCATGTAACTCACCTGAGAAAACAACAATAATAACAGTTACTTCAGTTTCATTAGTAAGAAAGCAAGTTACTATAATTGAGTTTCTCTTACCTCAACCGAGTATGACATGTTGTTGTCATTATTGTCATTGATCTTGGTAAACAGGTCCTCGCAGAGCTGTCACAGAAAGATTAAGCATTAAAAAATGTTTCTAAAAAGCTAATTACAACAAAAGCAGTAATAACAGATGCTATTATAGAGTACTACCAATGGGATGATGCCTTCTTGGTCTTTTTCTTGCTTGCCCATCATGGTATATGACTTTCCAGCCCCAGTTTGCCCATAGGCAAAGATACACACGTTGTATCCCTCGAAAGCATGAAGCAGCATTTCCTCTCCTATGTCTCTATATACCTGCTTTTGACATGCATAGTTCACATCTTCTGGCTGTTGAAGACAAAAAAACACAAGGACATCGTCTTATGTGTGTCTAGAACAGCTGTCGGTATTATAGCAGAAGTCAATAAGTAAATATGTTTACAGTTAATTAAGAAACTCACGGTTGTGTGTGACCAATAGGAATAGTCAAAATTGAAGCTCTTGTTCTCCTTTGGCTGTTTTGGGTTTAGAATTGCTAGAAAAGAAAAGGTACATGTCTATAAGGATACAAGCAAATGAACAAAATGCTCGACAAAGAGTTAAATATGTATATTAAAAGAAGCAGCTCAATACTGCTATCTGTTATCACATTTGAATGACTGACAATGACAAAATTTCATTCCAAAGTAGGCATGTCACAATAATCAATATATATCGTGCAATATTTGGAGATGACCTCAATCATTTTGCTGTTTCAATATATATTTACAAATTCACAAATATTGTTAAACCCATTTTATAATGACATCTACATTGTTTATAACGCCTTTATAACGTAGTTTATAATTGGACAGTTACCTAATAAGATATTTAATAGTCTATATAATAGGACATTTATCTTTTAAACATCAAATTATAGAATTTAAATAACCGTAAGAATGATACTGTAGGTATTTTAAAGTGTTTATTGCTATTTGCATAATTATGCTGTTATATAATAAGTAACATAAAATTATCTCAAAATGACAATATATCACTAATCGCAACAATTTTTGTGACAATATATGTCGTGGTTTTTTGTTTTTTCTCTTAATGAATCAAACTCAGACTGGGGGTTATGAATATCAGAAGATTATACTTTATTGGAATATTTTCCAAAAAAGCAGATATCACACAACACAAATTCCTTATTGTGACAGGCCTATTTCAAGGTATTAAAAATGTGAATAAAAGTCACTTTAGTTAAACTGCAGTTAAACACCTAATGTTGTCAGAGCAGAGATCAAGGTCCAATAATGCAATTCAAAAGCATAAAAAATACCATGTGAGTCACAAGTGCAATTTATTTTTACTCTGCATAAGCAACTTTTTTCCATCACACTCAATCATTTGTAATTTTAATCATACTCAGACCTGTCATTTGCTGTTAAAAAAACGGATAATTTCTAAGAGCAATTGGCAGAGACAAAGAAACTTGACTACTTCTGTAAAAACATTATTCCTGTTGAAAAGTAGAATTTACTTGAAAAAAAAAAACAATATTTTGTTTAGCAGGCTGAACATAGCATTTCAAAATATTACTTTTTTTTATTTACAGATTTCTTATGAATAAAAATTAGTTTTGAACAAAACTTTGTTTTTAAAATGCTAAAAACAATCTTACCAACTATTACCAAGAGTTTACACTCCCCAAAAAAACTATATCTAATATTATATAATATAAATTACACTTCATTTAGACCAATAAACTTTGAAATCTGTTGATTAGACACCAAATATTAGATCAGATACTGGTGGCTGTACCAAATATTAAGTACAAACTGTTACATAAAATAATAATTATTCAGGTCCAAACAAACCTAAAATGTGAAAGTAAAGTTTTAATGCATATTGAGCTGTAGGAAATATTTGCCACTGGTAAATTAGTTTAGTTCAAGGGATGTATAGTTCACCCCAAAATATAGTTTCTTTCTTTCGTTGAGCACAATCCTCCTAATGACGTCAATAGCTACTAAATAGTGTTCTTCATAATATCTTTTTTGTGTTCAATAGAAAAACTAAACTTATATCTAAGAAGTCTTAAATTTGGAACCACCTGAGGGTGAGTAAATGGTGAGAAAATTGTTATTTTTGAGTGAACTATCCCTTTAATATTTTAAAATTGCTGGTTAAAGAGCCCCTATTATGGGTTTTTAAAAATGGCCTTCCATGCAGGGTGTAACATAGCTCAAAGTGAATAAAACATCCAGCTGATGTTTAAATCTGAAAGTGCACCTTGTAAAAATTGTTTATCTTTAATAAAAGATTCGACTCAGAGTCGTTTTAAATGATTCATGTCTAGATCTTTTGACTGTTTGCATCGACACAAAACAATACCAAATATGTTCTGTGCCGGATCAGGTAAAACGTGAACGCACCTTTCCCTTTAAACGCTAGTGGAGTGCAGATGTGTGGGACTGATCATGAGTTCTGCTGGTTAATGCAAAAATCTACCCTGCAATGGGGGATTCGTCGGCCATTTGGTGAAGGAAGAATCAGAAAATACTATTGATGTATGGGACTTTGTCAAAGCTTGACAAGGACTTCATCAGTATACAGTTCATGAATCAGTTTCTTCCTCAAATTCACAAGTGTAAGTGTGATTTAAATGGTTGCCTCCTTGTTTTCTCTAGCTTGCAAAATATGTGTTTTGTTACTTGTAATCAATCCATGCGACTTGTACTGTATCTGGTTAACTCTTTATATTTACACATCACATCTAAAACCACGTTGAAAACATGATATGTGCCGATTTCTTTACAGATTTAAATGCGTTTGTGAGCTTGTGATCCTCTGCCATTTGTTGTTGCTATGGCCACCGTCAGTTGTTCCTACACATGTGTGGCGGTCAAGTTTCTAAATAGTTCAGCTTTTGCCACTGTGTGCATTAATACTGAATATGTGTCTTTGTTTTTACTTATGGTTAAGAATACAGCAATATGCTGGTCTTAAACTGCACTGCTTTAATGCACTCCTGCATTAGACTCACACATACTCTGCACTCTGACTACTTCAAAAATGTTGATAAGCCGTGGTGGGCGTTTCTCTCTGTCTCGAGCTGAATGCAGTTGACCAATCGCAACAGACTGGGTCATCAGACAAATCAGCGCAGATTAGCATCAAGCTAAGGAGGGGTTTGGGAACAAATTAATCACTAAACGAATCATATGGGAGTCGTTAGGGTAATTAGGTAAAAATAAATGCATATTATAAGACAATGAAAGTGTTTTTTGACCTTGCATGCATACCAGCCTGTTGCTGGAGACACCCAAACCAAAATATTATTTTTTTAATGCATCATATGGGCTTTTTCAGTCTATCTGTTAATTTACAAAATTCATGTTAAAAAGACGTAATTAGTATCTAAAAATAGCCAGCAATATATTCTGCATTGCTAATGAGCTCTATATGGCTTTATATTTGCATATGTTGTCATGTTTGAAGACAGATGAGTTGTGAATCTGAAAATGAGGTCATGAACCTCCAGCATCCTCTGAACAGCACAAAGCTGTGCAGTGTGTCTGACCTCACGCTCTGCACCAGCTGACTGTTTTCCCACTCACACTGCAGGCTGAACAACGGGACGCTTTACAGTTTTCTGAGCTGCTCTGGAAACAAGAACTGGAAATGCCAATCAATTCTTCTTCCGAAATGGAGCAGAGCTTCTAGCATGCAGAACTTTTTGCTGCATGAACTGAGAAAACTGACTGATCTCTTATACCTCAAACTCCTTTTAAAATCTGTACTATTAAAATCCACGTCCTTATTTTGGGACCCACAGGATCATTATTTTACAAAACAATCATAACAGTCATATAAAAAAAAAAAAACAGACAATATTTTATAGAAGAGCAACTTCCAAAGCTTTTAATGTTAGCACTATTTGCCATGTTATTACTGCATTTAATTCTTTCAATTTTTAAATGACACCTGGAAAAACTCTGGAAATAGACCACACTGGGATTAACAGTTTAAATAAATTCCTTTTGAATTAAAATAAGCACATTTATGACACCCTTTTGATTAAAAGCAACATCAAAACAGTGCAGATTTTATTTTGAAAAGTTCAAAGACAAAATAAATTCCTTTTACATGCGTGAACTTTCACTTTCAGATAAAAAGGTCATTCATTTTCATGCTACAAAATACTGTACATATAAGACCTTTGAGGGAGTTTGGGGACATTGCAAATTATTCCTATATTGTGGTTGAGTTGGGAATGAAGTTGATTGATGGTCATAAATATTGATGTAAAATACTGAGAAGCTTTTGTTTTGTTTAGTTCTTTGTTTTGTTGTTGTTTTGACTTCTGTATTATCTGAGTGTAAAGTTAAAATGCAATAAAGATCATTTATTGATTCATTTATTTATTTTTAGTTTTGTATTTCAAAAATTTCTAAATTTCTAAATTAATTTAATCAATTTTCAAATTTCAAACATTTTACTACAATTTTATGTCTCAAAGAAAAGAAAACATGAAATAATTATCTGTTTTCAAGAGTTTTAAGTAAAACATTTGAATAAAAATAAATATGTTTTGTTTCACTAGCAAAAAAATGCATTTTTAGAATTATTGTTAATTTCTCATTCTCATTATTATCAAAAAACTATATATTTTTATTAAGAGCAAATTATTTTGCCACATTTCTTGTATATTAGTGACTGTGATGTTAATGTGCCACTTGCAGCATAATAGACAAGATAAGGTGATCAATAGTTGATTTTTGTCCTCATATTTAGTGTTTAAGGATTAATATTGCTAACAAAATACTACAGTTTTATAGTTGTTGCTAAAATTCATTTTTTGCACATCTACTAAAAAAGTATTTTGTTATTAAGATCCAAACATAAAATTTTAAATCAACAAATATGGTTAAGATATAAGTACAAAAAGAAATATTCTGTTTTTAGGAAATAAACATAAAACACTGCATCTGATTAGGTTATTGACAGCACATCTAACCAATTAAAACAAACCTTGACCAAAAAATAAAACAAGAACCCGTCACCTTTAACATTTCATTTTCAAACCTGTATGCGCTAATATTTTCTCTCATTGGGGTGCTGCTAATGAGAGACTCTGAAAATGAATATTTCATCACAAGCATGAATTATTATAGAGTGTGCTGTCAATCATCTCCGACTTAAATGAGATCCGGAACAGGTGTAGGAAAAATGATGGATAGTGAAACAGGATGTTTTGAAAGAGAACTCACTGGTGGTGTTGCCGGACATCTGGATGATACACTTGCTGTCTTTGCCGATCTCTCGTGAGTTGAAGGGTCGGACCCTCACGGCTACTTTGACCGAGGCTCCTGCCATGGTGAAATCTGAGTGCTGGGGATCTGCTACTACACAGGATCTTATGGACCGAAGCCCAGCCTGGAATCAGAGGCCGTCTGCCACCTGGAAAGAAAGACACTGTTGTCATGATATTGGAAAAAACTGACATTGGGATGTTTTGTTCATATTTTGAACAGAATTTCACCAGATGGTGTGAATAGCTTGAATAGTTTACAGTTTTCTGGGCCGAGTATGAACTGGAGAACAAGCTGTGTGAGAACGAATTATTCAGGTACAGAAATAAAATAATCAAATGTAAATAATAATAATTCCTCCCATTTATATTTTTCTTTTTTGGACATTGAAAGTGCTTTTGGTAGGGGAAATCTCCTCATCCACCACCTGTGTGAAGCGTTCACCTGTCCTGGATGACGCGACAGCAGCTGTAATGCGCCAGACTGCACACCACACTCAAGCTGATTGGTGTCGAGTGATGAAGCCAATTATGATATGGCCATGGTTAGGAGGTGATGGACAGAGGACAGTGGGCCAGGATGCCCGAGTTAAACCCTTACTCTTTTTCAACGGACATCTTGTGGTTTTTAACGACCACAGAGTCGAGACCTCAATGTAACATCTCATCCGAAAGACAGCACTCACTGACAGTATAGAGTCCCCATAAATACACTGGGGCATTAGGACCCACACAGACCACAGGCTGAGCACCCCTGCTGGTCTTACTAACACCACTTCTAGCAGAAACCTTGCTTTCCCATGTGGTCTCCCATCCAGGTACTATCCAGGCACAATCCTGCTTAGGTTCATTGGGCAACTACGTGAGAGTTGCAGAGAGCTAGCTGCCAGCTTGATGAATAACACTATATAGTCTTCACTGTGTAAAAAATAAACAATCTTTGTTAAAATGTTATAATTTACAAATGGTTTAAATACACTTGAAATCTTACAATCATAGGCCTTAAAAACAAAGCAAAGACGCTGATGAGAAACTTTCCCTTAGCGAAGGTTAATGGTCACAATTTGCATCCTGGTCAACTTTAATCCCACTCAAATTTCCTAATGGATGAATAAACTAAAACTGAACTGACAATCCAGATTTTGCAAATGCGGAGTTGCATATTCCGATATCGATGATAAAACAATATATTGTACAGGCCTACTCAGGGCCAGACTTAGCAATTTTGGGGCTCTAAGCAATTCCAGGTATGGGGCCCTAGCATTTAAAATCAAGACATTCTCTCTTTATATATTTTTTTCTCTGTAGATTTTGTTTTGTTTAAATAAACTTTGTGTTAAAAATAGTACTATATTTTAAATGGAACCATTATCTTTTTAATGTAAAATTAATCACAATAAATTCACAAATAAAAAACAAGTTCGCAAACTTATTAGGCTACAGTTACTGTATTTATTCATTCATTTTCCTTTGGTTTAGTCCTTTTATTCATCAGGGGTTGCCACAAAGAAATGAACCATCAACTTATCCACCATATGTTTTATACAATGCCTTTCCCGCTGCAACCCACAGCTGGGAAACATATATACACTCTGACATGCACACACATAAACTACAGACAATTTAGTTTATTTAATTCACCTATACCACATGTCTTTGCACAGTGGGGGAAACCAGAGCAACCCTGAGGAAACCCACACGATCACAGGAAGAACATGCAAACTCTACACAGAAATACCAACTGGTCCAGCTGGGGCTCAAACCAGCAACCTTCTTGCTGTGACTGAGGTGACGGTGCTTACTACTGAGCCACCGTGCCATCCAGGTTACAGTTAATTAGCCATATTTCAAATGTAATTCACAATCTACTAAACTAATCTTTTCACCATTTCTCATATCAAATGAATAATTGCGGTTTGTGAATCTGTAACCATCCCTGTTCACTGGGAAATTTCGTTTATTTGAACAGCTCTTATCGTCTGGCAGGTGTTTTGGCTAGAAAGCAGGAACGTTCCACTATTTATGGTTGTTGGTTTTGAAAAAAGCAATAACGTTAAAATAGTAATGCTTATAGACAGATTTTACAACATAAGATAGAAAGTATTTAAAAGAGCTATATGATTAATACAGGCTTCTTTGCATTGGATTAAACCCCCTAAATTCACTGGGCCCTACACGACTGCTTACCTCGCTTATTGGTTAAGTCTGACCCTTTAGGTTGTTAGTATCCGTATGTTAGTCTGAATGATATCTATAAGCTAGTGTGCTACAAAACAGAGACATAATTTGCACTTAAAACATAAAACTGATATAAACATTCAAAGCTTGCCATTTGACACTTGCGCATTAAGGAATCAAAGATTTTTTCCCATCACCTCATACTTCAGTTTCTTATTAAACCAATCAAAGTCTCTCTAGTATCTCACATGCTTTACCCACTTCACGTTTGCTTTCCATTTATTGCGCTTGAGCTCAACCACTCTCACTGGCAAAGCTGTGAGAAAACAAAAACGCTATTGGCTGTTTTTTAAAAGGGAGGAACTACTCTGTTACACATCTCTTCATGTTTAAGTTAAAATTACATCAAACATTAAATTAAAAAATGCACATTTTAAAGCACTTCACAGGACCTTTAATGGCAGTTAAGCATGCATAAAATCTCCTTCATGTTCATGAAGTGTGTCATGTCGTGACTATAAAAGTGTCTTGGCAGTCTTATGAACACCCCTCTTAGTAAAGATTTATACAAGGTCACTAAGCTCACTCTACTTTGAGCGTTACAAGCAAGAATGAAACAGATACATGTTTAATGATAAACCAAATTCCAAATAGTTAATATTATCATTTTATTAATCATTCATTGCATATTTAATTGCAGTGATAAATAAAAACTATAATTAATTTACAACCCCTGAATCAACACTTATTGTGCAAAAACCAGGCTACAAATGACCTAAACTTTTTAAATGTGAAATGATTTAGAACGGCAATTCACCTCAAGAGATAATTAAGGAAATCCCCATAAATCTGTTCAGGCGATTGAATTGGCTAAGTTACGCCATTGATAATCTAATTTAGGTAATGGAGCCTCTGATATCCAGACCATGACTCATCAGGACTTTTATCACATTCAGTAGATTACTGTACTCACGTGAACTCTAAAACTAGCTGAAACAAAACCGCCTTGCAAACAGTTATTGGACCCATACTGTATCTGTGGATTATTAAAAGAACAAAAACAGCCTGATAAAATCTGAAGCTATACTGTCAAGTCAGCAGACAAAATGAAAGAGATTCACACCAAAATTCATTCATTCATTTTTCTTTGGCTTAGTCACTTTATTCATCAGGGGTCACCACAGCGGAATGAACCACCAACTTATCCAGCATATATTTTACACAGCTGCAACCCAGTACTGGGAAATACCATACACTCTGACATGCACACATCACACATACACTACGGCCAATTTAGTTTATTCAATTCACCTATAACGGATGTGTTTCGACTGTGGGGGAAACCGGAGCACCTGGAGGAAACCCACACCAACACGAGAACATGCAAACTCCACCCAGAAATGACAAATGGCCCAGCCAGAACTCGAACCAGTGCTAACCACTGAGCCACTGTCACCCTCACACCAAAATGAAAACATAATCACTATTTTCTAACCCTCGAGTCTTTCTAAATATTCATGAGTTTCTTTCTTCTGTTGAACACTGAGGTGGATATTTTGAAAAAAGCTAAAAAACTGTAACTTATTGACTTCCATAGTAGGAAAAACAAATACTTTTGAAGGCCTTAGGTTTCCAGCTGTCTTCAAAATATCTTCTTTGTGTTTAACAGAAAAAAGTAAGTCAAAAAAAGTTTTTAACAAGTAAAGAGCAAGTAAATTATGACAGAATTGTAAGTTTTAGATGATTTACTAAGTTTTTAGTATTTATTTAAGGCTAAGAAGCCCACTAAAAGCTATTAGAGCTATTTAAAGTCATTGTTCAGAAAATTTACTTCTCATTTGTCCATTTTTTTTTGCTCTTTTGTGTAAGACTTTTACATTTTTTAGCATCTCTTGCTGAATCCAAAACATAGGCTGTTTCTCAATTCCAAGAATGCAGAGAACGGACTTGTGTTCTTGTGGAGACCGGTTTTGCCAGGTGTCCTCGGAAGAACGAACTCAGGAGACCGCAAGGGCAGAGAACGCGTCCTTTGAGAAATGGGATGCTGCGTTCTTCCTGATGGTCACGTGACCTTCACGTGTTTTAAATGAAAATTATTTAAACATTACAGCATTCATACAGCGATTTATTGTTTTTCCCCTCTTCAAAATATATACTTTGCATTAAAACATTATAAATATACTCTGCACAATATAAATAAAACATTTTAAAACGAATTTCAGCAAACAAACACCCTTAATGTGTTTATTCCTTTATTAAGATGTCCATGGTAATGTTTACTTTCACCTTTTTATTTAGAGAAACTCCTGAGGTACATAAATGATATCTCTGAACTTTAATAATAAATCTAAATAAAATGCTGCGCTTCCCACATCCAGTCGCAATGACTTCTGGGACTTCCAGAGCGAGTTCGGTGCTCAAGTCTGCATCAGTGCGTCCTCGATATCAAGAACACATCCGGGAAGTTTCACGCGTCCTCCGTACTTGCGGTCTTGATTATTGAAACTGAACTTAGGCAGCTGATGATGACGTTGCACGAGAACACGAGGACGTAAGACCGCTGAAGAACGCATATTGAGAAACAGTCATAGTTTTAGTGCTAATAAACAGAGGATTGGGCCATTAATAAGGCAGAGAAATAAAAAAAAGACTAAAGCAACTGTTTACTCATTCTGTCATCATTTACCCATCCTTCACTTAATGCAAAGCTGGTTGAGTTTCTTTATTCTGTTGAACATAAAAAATATATTTTGAAGTATGCTGATTTAAAGTCAAACTGTTCCAAAGTCACCCCAAAGTATTTTTTCTTTTATATGGCAGGTTTTCAACACTCTTTAAAGACTCTTTCAATTGGTGGTTTCACATTTGCCAAACAAACCGTGCTAACCGGGCAAACGAGACAGGTTCTGAAACAAAAGTGTAGGTGTGAAAGCACCCTAAATTCAAATTTTGTCACTGTTTTGGGGCACACTAGCTTATAGATATCCTATAAAAACTAATAATACTAATACCAAAATCTAAAAAACTTTATTTTTAATTTCATTGACCTCTAAAATATATTTTATTGTAGACAAAAGAAAAAAAATTAAAGTTTAAGAGTTTGGAACCACTTGAACCCTCAAGAAGTAAATCAATTTTCATTTTTGGCTGCAGGACAAATGCAAACATGTTTCTTTGACAAGTTTTGACAAAAAAAGAGAGCATCTTTTAGCAGTACATTATTTAGTATGAAAACAACAAATTAGTTTACATTCTTTCACTATATATGCTAGTAGTTTGTAATGAACCTTAAAATGGACCCTTTTCACAAGACTGTTATGACGTGTTTGACAGCCATCATAATCTTAAATCCTAGAAAGTTTTTAATATTTTGATTTGTAAAAAACGTATGAATTTCAATGTATTTATGTATGTATTATATCATTGTGTCAAATTACAAAAAAATGAATTACGGCTAATGCAAGGTTTTTGTACTGCAGTGTCTATGGGGTTAAGAGTAAATTTGACGTTATTCTCTCCTCTGGCTGCTGTCATCAGTCTCACACTTTTGTCCCCCTTTTTCTGAAAGTGATAACACCTTAGTGCGTTTTTCTTTTAGTTATTTCAGCAAATAAGGTTGTAAAAATATTATTTGTTGTACTCTTCCATTCAGTGTGCTCTAAGTTTACCTTACTATGTCACCTTCTGTTGCTGTGAAACCTGGAAATGTGAAAAGGGTCTATAGCTAAAAATGTTTGCCATAGTGAAATTACTATAGAATTTTCATTAGCCAATCAGAATCAATCATTCAGCAGCACCTCCATATAATATAACCTACTGTACAATCCTCCTGCCATTCTATACAGTATATGAGAATAATGTAGTTTATGACTAATGAGTGATCTCATGAAAAGGGTGATGCTATTGTATAGTAATATGCTACTGTAAACCTCACACACAAAGGGTATATCATAGGTAATCAAAAGAATTTTGGACTTTTCTTAAAAGTTACTTATATGTCTACTTTTATAGGCTCACATAATTTATGAATTAATTACATAAATTCACTTTCTTATGATCTTAGATACTTTTAAATAAATATTTTGTTAAAATATCAGTTTCAGTTGCAACCACATATTGACTGGGATTATGTTTACAGATATGATCTGTCACATTGACCTAGTTGAATCTAAAACTGGCATAACATCTGTTAAAAATGACCTACATGTTATGCAAACATTCTTGGGTCCCCCAAATGACAATTTCAGACTTAAACTAATTTTAATTGTAGTTTGTTTATGAAGATGTGAACGACATAGCATCTAGCACAATGACCTCCATGCTACAAAAGACAATAAACAATATAACTGCCTGCCCTACTGTTATTAATGGTAGCATATATGTTATTAGTATTACTAATTGTATAACCCATTTAAAGACAGACATTTAAAGTAAAAAATAAATGTGGGTCAAAATATCTGTAGTTTTTTTATGCTAAATAATATTAAATCTTGAATTAGAAAGAAAAAACTTCATAGGGCATCGATTTAGCCTAAAACTATAAACTTAACTAAAAATAACTAAACTATATAATTTATTATAAAAAAATACATAAAAACAATAGTTTTTTTCTAACATCATATGCTAAACTACACTGTTCATTATTAAGATGATTATTTGGCAACATTATGTGGGATAGCCCCGTTAAAAAAATGAAGCAACTAGGCTACATAAAATAAGCTTAAAAATAAGCTGTGAATAAATTTGACAGCATTTGACTACAGACAATTTATTTATCTAGAATCTAAGATTACGCTATCTGCCAGCCTTCGAGCAGAAATGCGTTGTGTTTGTACACAATGAATGTTATTTTTATCATCAACATAACTTCCAGTGCTCGTAGTAGAGTCTGCTGAAAATGGCTGCCCTGACGGCCAGCCGCTAGTCATGATTCAGCTCTGATGGACGGGCATTTGCGTCAGCTGCAGCCCACCGGCAAAACAAACTAATGAAGCCCTTTCATCGGTCATTAAGCAAACGAAGGAGGACAGGCAGCGATTCTAAACAAGGTTATGATATAAATGTGTATCCCATCTGCTTATATTCAAAGAGCAGCCTCTGCGTAGATGCTGAGGTGCGGCATTAACAACCCAAACAACACATATGGGCTAACGTTACACGCAATTTGAGCGCACAAGATTCTAAAGAACGAAACACCTATCACGATTATAATTAAATAAACATAAAGTTAATCACCGGTTAACGTAGTACCAAATAATCGTTAATAATACGTGTCGCATCACAGTTGTTTTGGGATAAGATGACGCGTCTGTTACTATGGCACTATTTTCTCAACAAAATACAGTCAAATATACTGAACTTAATTTCATATTATGATATTAAATAAGTTATTCATTTCTTGATGTCTTTAAGATTGAAAGCATCTGAAAAGGTCCTTATTTCGTGACTTGGCCTCACCCCGCCAACATAAACAGCATCCTTCAGCACCATGGCTGATCGCAGGACTGTCAATACATGTAGAAAACGCAAAAATAACGATGCCATTCAAAACTAATCATGCCATTAATAGAGATGCTATTTAAACAACAAAATTAGCATCATGACACTAAATCAAATTTAAACAAATAGTTCTATCTATCTATCTATCTATCTATCTATCTATCTATCTATCTATCTGGATATAGAACTATCTTTTTTATGAAGACCGTTTTTATGTTCTCCTCAATATTTTGCTTGCTGTTTTTGCATTTCAACAACCTCGAAATGGTGTCCGGACAAAACAACAACGGAAACAGTGCACCACCCTGTTCTCATTCTCACAACAGTCATGAAAAAACACTGATTATAAAACACGTAACGACAACAATCAAGATCTGTCGATTACCTGATTCCCGAAGGTAATATCCTGCTAATGTTGCGCACAGCAGCGGGTTATTCCATCAATCCGCATCCATCCGCGGTCTCCTTCCTCTCCCAGCTGTTGTGTTTTCTCACTGTAGCCTCTCCCTGCTTCAGCACCATCAATGCAGGTGGAGCCCCCGCTGGCAGGACCAGGGCCTGGTGCGCAGTGGCGGTGCGTCAGGACGGGATGGGTGGGGGGGTTTGCGGGATGAGCCAACGGGATGATGGAGGGAGGGTTCGTGGATGTGCGGATTAGACAGAGAGAGAAAGTTTTTTCAGCCTAACACAAAATGGCTCTTATGGTGGAGCCAAGGATGCTGATGACGTCATGAGCGAGGAGCAGTGATGAGAGAGGCGCAGACAGAAAGGATGGGTGTGATGTGTGTGGGGGGGGAAGAAAAGACCGTGGTCATGGATTTGCTTCCGTGTCCTCGAGTATAGACCACAGTGTTGAAGACATAAAGAGCTCATCTGAAATTCTAAGCGTCTGTGATTCCGTATGCAAAGCACGGACACGCTCAAGGGATTCATTATGAAGGACTGAGGACGCTTATACAAGGAGACAAACAACTCTGCATAACATGTCTGGATTTTTAAAATATATATATTTTTGCTATTTATTTAGTAATTGTATTCATTTTATCTATAAATAACAGAAACTGGTAAAAAAAAATGACATACTATATATATATTCATATTTATGGTTGATAAAATGCTAAATAAAATTTTGTTAAGAGTTGCGTATCAAAGATCAACAGGCTCTAGATATAAATATAATTAAAAGCACCACAATAAAATTAAAACATTACATTTCTTCTCAACCATTTACCTCAGCACACACACACACACACACACACACACACACACACACACACACACACACACACACACACACACACACACAGTTGAAGTCACAATTATTAGCCCCTCTTTGATTTTTTATTATTTGTTTTTCTTTTTTAATTATTTCCCAAATGATGTTTAACAGAGCAAGGACATTTTCACAGTATGTCTGATGATATTTTTTCTTCTGGAAAAAGTCTTAATTGTTTTATTTTCGGTAGAATAAAAGCAGTTTTTAATTAAAAAAAAAAATTTTAAGGTCAAAATTATTAGCCCTTTTAAGCTATACATTTTTTCAATAATCTACAGATCAAACCATCGTTATACTATGACTTTTCTAATAACCCTAACCTGCTAACCTAATTAACCTAGTAACGTCTTTAAATGTCACTTAAAGCTGCATAGAAGTGTCTTGAAAATTAACAAGTAAAATATTATTTACTGTCAAATAATTTCTGGCAAAGATAAAATAAATCAGTTATTAGAAATGAGTTATTAAAACTATTATGTTTAAAAATGTGTTGAGAAAAATCTTCTCTCCGTTAAACAGAAATTAAGGGACAAAAATAAACGTGGGTGAATAATTCAGGGGGGCTAATAATTCTAATTTCAAGTGTGTGTATGAATCACCCATTTTAATGAATTAGGTTTATTAGGTATGGGTTTGAGTAATGTTAAATATTGCTTTTTGTTCATAAAATAAAAGTTTTAATTGTTGTGATTGAAAATCTGGGTTATTCCAACACACATTTATAGTGTTGTACAAAATACAAAGATGTATGGAAACCTGTTATTTTGTCATTTTGAGTATTTTAATTAGCTATTTACACAATTTTTGTATACATAAAGCATTTTAAATAATAAATTGTACATCTAAAGCAGCCTAATTGAGAGTTTCCAAGTTGTCTCTGAATTTTTCTCCACTAGATGTTGTTGACAATTGCATTTGTTTCCCCTAATATTATGTATTTGTAATTTTTTTTAAGGTTTTACTATTTTAAAAACCAGACCAAAATGTAACATCAGAAGTAAAATAGTTTGTGCAGAACAGCTCCATCTACTGTCAATCTGATATAATTCTGCTCGCTACATTACACATCAATGTAAATGTTGCCTGCAAACACACGCTGAATACATTTTTGCATTGTAGTTTAGTGGGTTCAAGGTCAGTCTGAAAGTCTCCAATAGCCAAGACAAGCGTTACATCAGGGCATGTGTCGTGTCTTTCACAAAAGCATGGCATGAGTTGGTGTGTTTGTCTTTGGCCTGTATCTGTGGGTGTCGAGCTCCACCACAGTGCAAAGGCCACACAAAGGTAAACATTGCATTTCCACTTATTTACTGTGTAGACTAATTATTTACTGTTGGATAAGTGATGGAGAACAGTGCTCGGGCCAAAGTCCCCGTTCTGACATCAGCATCTGCTTTCTATGACACAAGACCGCTGCGTTTGTGAATCACTGTTCTCATCAGGCACTTTTGTACAGAGTAAGCATTTTAGCTCTAAGTTTGAACAGCACAGTCTGTTCATGTTATAGATTTACTTTCCTCATACAGAGTTATAGAAATATGGTCAATCACCAATCATTATAATATTAGACAGGCCTTATATTAACACATTTGATTTATTAAAGGATAGGCACACCGAACATGCAATACATTAATAATAATGAATAATGTTGTAATTACTCTTTGAGCATATGACCATATTTAGGACTATATAAGTATGAATAGCTGGTCTAATCATTATTATAAATAATGAGGTACTATTAATTATCAACCATTACGACCCTTTTAGGACCTTTCCGTAACTGTGAGCCAAATTAATAAAATTATAAGTAACATTATTTTTTCAATTAATAATCATTAAATGTCAAAATCATGGCCATTTTTCTAAAACTGTGTATGAGCAAAGTAAATAAACATGAATAGAGTCATTAATAATAACAATAATAAAACTACAATAAAAATTGTTATTAATACTACTACAATATAACAGTTTCTAAGCCAAAGTAATTATTAGCATGAATAGACACTCTACATTATTATAATTATTATTAATTATTAAATACACATACACTCACCGGCCACTTCATTATTATATTATACTTTTATTATTAAGTACACATTGCTAGAGCCAAGTTGGACCCCCTTTTGCCTTCAGAACTGCCTTCATCCTTAATGGCACAGATTCAACAAGTTATTGGATATATACCTCAGAGATTTTGGTCCATGTCGATATCACAGCATCAGGTAGTTGCTGCAGATTTGCCGGATGCAAATCTCCTGTTCCACCACATGCCAAAGGTGCCCTATTGGATTGAGATCTGGTGACTGTGGAGGCCAATTAAGTACAGTGAACTCATTGTCATGTTCATTAATTATACTATAAGAAGATGGATAGACTGTGGTCATAAACGGATAAACGTGGTCAGCAACAATACTTGGGTAGGCTGTGGCTTTGACATGATGCTAAATTGGTACTAATGGGCCCAAAGTGTGCCAAGAATATATCCCCCACACCATTACACCAACACCAGCCTGAACAGTTGATACAAGGCAGGATGGATTCATGCTTTCATGTTGTTGACACCAAATTCTGAAACTACCAACTGAACGTCACAGCAGAAATCGAGACTCATCAGATCAGGCAACGTTTTTTTCAATCTTCTATTGTCCAATTTTCATGAGCCTTTGCTAAGTGTAGCCTCAGTTTCCTGTTCTTAGCTGACAGGAGTGGAGTGGCACCCGGTGTGGTCTTCTGCTGCTGTAGCCCATCTGCCTCAAGGCTGGTCGTATTGTGCATTCAGAGATGCTCTTCTGCATACCTCTGTTGTAACAAGTGGATATTTGGGTCACTGTTGCCTTCCTTTCAGCTCGAACCAGTTAGGCATTCTCCTCTGACCTCTTGCATCAACAAGGCATTTGCGCCCACAGAACTGCCGCTCACTGAATATTTTCTCTTTTTCAGGCCATTTTCTGTAAACCCTGGAGATGGTTGTGTTTAAAAACCCCAGTAGATCAGCAGTTTCTGAAATACTCAGACCAGCCTGTCTGGCACAACAACCATGCTACGCTCAAGGTCACTTAAATCACCTTTCTTCCCCATTCTGATGCTCGGTTTGAACTGCAGCAGATCGTCTTGACCATACCTACATGCCTAAATGCACTGAGTTGCTGCCATGTGATCGGCTGATAAGAAATGTACGTTAAAATGTTTTAAAAAAGAGTGAGAGAAAGAATTGAGAATGGAAATTTCGGAAGAAATGTTTGGTCAGTTTGGACCAAATGTGCGGAAGAAATCAGGTTTGGTGGATATTATTAAACATTTTATTAATTCTGGATATTGTCATATTCCAAAACATAATTTAAAATAATCCTTAGGTTACGCTACTCAAAGAAAAAATTTAATAGAATCTTCCAAAATATTTCACCTCTTTGCGACAAATAGGATGCGGATTCATCAGATGCAGATCTATCTCAGTTTTATTTTTTGTTCTAAGATACAGAATTATTGGAATGAAATTTTTGAAGTGCTTTCTGAGGTGTTGAAGATGCAGTTACAATTGGATCCAATGCTTTTAATTCTGGGATTCTCTGAACAAACACATTTGTTGTCAAATACACAACTACTGTTTAACTACTGCCAAGAAGCTACTGCTACTGTTTTTTTGGGGGGAAAACCTTCTACATGTAAACTGTGGCTTGGGGAAATTACATGTTACATTTGGAGTGAATTAGATACTATTTGGAAAAATAACTTTAACAGTTTGACAAAATTTGGAATCCTTTTATTCGTTACCTTAAAAAAACCTCTCATAATAATGCATCATTTCTGTAATGTTTTAATTTGCTTTGTCATCATACTCTGTTGTTCACATAGGTCTTTGTAACAAGTTTGCTTGTTATGTGGGTGTTTTTTAATTTATTTTCTTATTTCCTTTTGCTGAAGACAAAATATGTAAACAAAATTCTTTTCTTTCCGAATCTGTGTCTTAAATAAAACTTATTTGACGAAAAAGAAATTTACGTTAACAAGCAGTAACACCTAATAAAGTGGCTGGTGAGTGTAATCCTGCACTGTATGATAAAAAATTTACATTTAAATAATGTGCATTTAGCTACCAGACACACTTGCCTAGAATCTATTAAAATTAATCAACATAAATTATTCATACGTAACCGTGAACAAATGTCTATTTATCGTTTGATAGCTGATCTTAAAAATGACTAAATTGCTAACGGACATAAGAGAATTCAGATGGATATGCACATTAGCCATGTCTACTCCAATAGAGCTACTGCCATGTGCTGCACAGACCAATGAAATGTCAGCTGGATACATTACCGTGTGCATGTCAGTTTGTTCACGTCAACCAATCAACTGTGTTGAGAAGTGCACACTCCTCCACTGAGCTCGTAATCAAGTGAAGAATAAATCGATCAATACAGCACCTGCCTGTACACAAGGATGTAAACAAAATCACACTTTTTGTCTATTTGACATGTTTAGGGCTAAAAGGAAAAGATATGAGCGATTAAGCACGTATGTCCTTTCAAAAATATTATTAAATATGAATACACAATTTCCTTTCACGATAGCATTTTCTAGTGGAGTGCAACGCATTTTCTTCTTCCAGCACTGAGATGTTGAGCTCTGTGAAAAAGCTCAGATAAACACGTGTGCTCTGTTTGTTTTTGTCAGGAGGGCATGAGTTATAAGATTGACTTCTAGACTAGAGGACGAAAATAGGAAAACGTATAGCTGACATAAAACATGATGTACAGGAACTTAGATAGCACACAGTTGCTGTAGCTGTTGTTATGCTGTTAATAACATGTATGCACTTCTGGACCGCTATACCTAGTTTGGAAGATGAAGGGAGGAGAAGTTTTGCGCCAAAAGCGTGACGCATGTCGGTGTGTGAACCGGGGGTCAAAGACCTGTTTATTTAAAATGTTGGAGAAACGCAGAGTTTTATCCTTCAGTCGAACAGCAGAGCGAGAGGAATCATGATGCCGAGGACTGTCCTGTCCAGGTGCGCGCGCCTGACGCAGCAGGTGCCGCTGGAAAGCGCGCTCTCCGGCAAACAAAGTGTTCAGCGTGGGATGTCGTCTCTCAGCGTCCCTCCACCGGCCTGCATGCTCCGGCCGCTCGAGGCTCCGTTGCGGTACTTGTTTGGACCAGGACCATCCAATGTGCCGCCTCGTGTTTTGGCGGCAGGAGGGAGACCTATAATAGGTCACATGCACTCGGAAATGTTCGGGGTAAATCTCACACTTTAGTTTGACGCAACGACGCCTTTAATTGTTTTAGATGGACTGATGGAAAGGAAAATTAGTTAAACACAAAAGGCTTCAAAGTCAGCAGAAATGTAGCCTTATACACGTAACTGAAAAAAATCGTTTACTTGGTTTATTTTTAATAAATGTTATTAATAACAAAAAAAATGCAAGGTTGTTTTTTAAATAGGCCTTTTAAATAGGCTACTCTAAATACCAATAGATATGTAGATATAAATATCTCTGAATACGATACTCTTATACATTATACTTGTTATAAAACAACAACAAATAATGTTCAAAATTCATATTCAAATATGCACATTCATATTGAGTCTTTTTAATTTAATACTTTTTGTTTAATTTTTCAAGAAATATATTTTAGGCTGAAAATATAGTTAAATACATATGTTTTTGATTAAAACCTCAAATAAGAAATATTTGTTGACCATTGTAAAATGTTAAGGTTACTCACAAAGGCCAGTGCATGTGTATTAAACAGAAACTCAATATGCTTTGTGCTTTCATGGACTTAAAAACATATCAAGGCAAATTATTTATATTTTAGAGTTGAAACCATTAACCTACATGAAAAAAAATGGATAAATGAAAATGTTATGGGAACTGAAGTTTTGAACAAAGCTTTATCTTTTTGTTTTTAAACACAAAGAGAATTTTAATTAATTGACTTTCTACAACAAGACAAATATGCTTTGTGCCAGGATATATAAAATTGTTCTCATGGAAATTGAACATGTTGTTTGAAGCAATTTATTTATTTTTCATTGGGTCAAGTGATACAATTGAGATGTGAACCATTACTCTATTTAAAAAAAAAAAAAAAAAAAAAACAGTATATTTAGAAATAGTTTCAATATTTACTAAAAAAAATCTAAAGGTGTATTTGCTAACTTTAATGCACTGTGAATTAATAATTTTATTTAAAGTTCATGTTAATTCATGCATTTTCTATTGTTAATAAATTAGCAATATTGTAAAAATTATCAAATAAAAATGTTTTTGAGATATTTTCAAATTTAAGAATGTAAGTCTGTAAAAGAGATCCACTCTTTCAGCTTCACAACCTTAAAATGTTTTACTTTTGATTGAATCAGTAAAGATCAAAATCAAGTGATTAAAATGTATTGTGGACATTATGTTTGAAAGCCAATGCTGAAATTTTGTTGCAGATTATGAATGAGATCAAGCAGGGAATTCAGTATGCTTTTCAGACCAATAACAGCATGACTCTGGCCATGAGTGGCTCTGGCCACACAGCAATGGAGTGTGCAGTGTTCAACATCGTGGAGCCCGGAGAAAGCGTTTTGGTTGCAGTTAATGGAATCTGGGGGGAACGAGTCGCAGAAATTGCAGAGCGCATGGGTATGAACAATAATAACTTCAGTCCACTGTTCTGTAAAAATTCATCATAATCTGTTGATAAGACCACACTTGCCTTTCTTACAACAGGTGCAAAGGTTCACACATTGGCAAAAGCACCAGGAGGACATTTCACAAATGCAGAAATTGAACAGGTAAAACTGTGCTTCATTTAAATGTGATGTTAAGACAAATTTCCTTTGCATATTTTGTCTTTTACAAACCCTAAAAGTTACTGTATATGACTGGATCAACAAACCTAACATTCATCTTTCTACAGGCTCTGGCCAAACATAAGCCAGTTCTCTTCTTTCTCACACATGGAGAGTCATCAGCTGGTTTGGTGCACCCAATGGACGGAATTGGAGATGTGTGTCGCAAGTAAGAATATCATACAATCATTTAGCTTACTGGGTGACTTCTAATGGAAAATCAATTAAATGCTTCCCTTTTGGGGTCTTGTATGAAAAAATCATGAATAAGTGTTTTTTTGCATGCGCAAATCTCAGATTGATGTACAGAATTAAATCAATATTTGAAGTTGAGTTGCTATACGTATTAACCCCGTTATTAGCAACACCGGTTGCCATTTGGTAAACTGCACCAAGGAACTTATGGCCCAATTCCACTGAGTGGTTCGATACGCTTTTACAGTATGGCCGTTTCCATGGTCAAAAGGTACCCAAAAGTGAACCGTACCGTACCACTTTTTGGGTACCATTTGCAAAGGGTATCTAGCACGGCAAAAGGGTACCAAAAGGCAGAGCTAGCCGCGCAGCTGAACACTATTGATTTACAGAGAAACGTCACTAGCAGTAAAATGAAAACAAAAAGAAAAAAAATTGCCATTTTTAAATATACAGCCGAGACATTACACTGTAATACTATACATGTATAATAACGAGCCATGGTCGACCCAAGCTCAAACAAACCTTGTAGTCGTCTTGATGGACAGCCACAAAGCCAAGAAGAACAAAATCTTCCCTGTCCTGTTTTTGTTTTTAAAAGTGCGTCTAAAAGTGCGAGCGGTTTTACTTTCTTCAGAGAGCTCGTATGCGTGTCTATATTTGAAATAAACTTTGAGCTGATGATAGTAACGTGTGCATGATTATTGAAGTGCTTTTGACATCCCATCCTTTCATAAACCGACAACGTGAAAGTTAAGGACGAAAAAAACAAAGAAGCTTGAAAAAAAAACAGAACAAATGATTCTTTTTAGAAACCTAAAACATACTTCCATGTTTAACTATTATCATCTACTTTTGGACTATTATGAACTCAGAATGATGGAATTACTTTCTAACAAGAGGCTACGTGTGCTGGTAAAGATTAAAGATAAGGGGTTTGCACTGACTGTGGGCTTGTTTTTGAACCCAAATAAGGTATAAAAGTATGTTGTGTGTAGTTTTTCTGTAATTGGTAACATCGGACACTGTAAGGGTCTGTATGTGTTCTTATATGTTGCATCAATTTATTTATGTTATATAATTGCATATGTTACTGTAGGCTATTTCGCACTGTCATTGATCTGCAGTGATAATCAAACTATGTTCATAAAAAGTTTAGTAATGAACATTTATACACAAGTATTTATGTGTATAAAGCATCTGTTTCTCATATGCTTCTCATATGATATGTGAACGGCCTGTACAGCTTTACTTTAAGCGAGCTTTTCTTGAGCCAGAATGACGTACTTTCTGTACTTTTCTGAATGACAAACTTTCTGTCGTAACTTTCCATTGGTAGCCTTTTGGTAGTGGAAGCGCAAGCCTGATAAAAGTGACCCGTACAGACCCGTCCTGTACCAGTCAGTGGAAACGGGCCATGAATGTTCATGGTTGCACTCATGTACACATTGCAGAATGTATGCTCTTGGAAAAGTTCTTCTTCATTCTTTGATTAAAGTTAGTGTGTTGACACATGGCACTCTAGTGCTTACGGCAACCCAAGTTCGACTCCCTCCTCGAGGTCCTATGCCAATCTTTCCCTTTTCACTGCTCCCCACCCATTCATGCTGAGAAAAAAGTTGAAGATACATTTGCATTGAAAAAGAACATCTAATTAATATCATATTGAGTTGGCTCGATTTAGCATATAAAAATTATATTTCTCAAATCTTTGCAAAAAATTATTTTAAGGCTATTGGATATATTTGCACAAGCAAATCCCTCAGTGGTGAGTGACAATTATTGTGTAAAGGTCCAAAACATTGCTTTGTTTACATTTTGCATGTGCACGTCGGAAGTTCTGGTTAACCTTTGTGGAAAGAGAAAACAGACTACCGCCTCCTGCGGGTTTAGAAAGACTCCTCTCACGCAGTTGCAGAACATGCACTCTAGTTAGTCACCTGCTTTCTGTTTGGTGGGTTTATTGGCAGCTTTGTGGTCCAAACGGGACCAGACACTCAAGAAAACAAAACAGTTGGGTTTTGCTGGCACTAACCGTTTTCCATTGGCCTTAAAACTTTCCACAACAAGAGAACTTTTGGGACTGAATATGCACAAATCAAAATTAAAAATACGTAATAAAAGTGGACGTTTTTGAAAATGCTGCTGTTTTTGTGTCCGTGTAAACAACCAGTAAGAGCATCTTTGAAATCATGCACATGCATAGTACAGGTTTTGGAAGATTAAAGGCAAGTGTAAACAAACACAACAAAGGCGGAAAACATGATTGCATTGTTGTGGTCAAGTGTTTGCTAATGATTCATTAGCAAAGTGTGGATTTACTTCACATTACAATGAAAAAAAGCAAAGACATACACAAGATCATACACAGAAGAAAAGCAATAGGAAGACAGTGCTTTTCCACAACATCCCACTTGATACTTTTGCATTCATCAGTGGGGTGGAGCTAAAAATTCAGTGATGCAGAAGAAGACACTGATCTTCTGCAGAGGTAGAGTTTAATAGATAGGCTCATTCCACAACTTATAGTTTTGGCAGACTGGCTTTAATATAAGTGGGATAGAGAAAAGGGAGACGGATCAGCAAAGCTTCGTGAGGCAGGAATTGAATTGATGGTTGCTGTTAGTGCAGTTGCAGTTATACTAATGAGAAAGCTTTGAGCTCTGAAACTTACAGAATGCTTTCATTATATAATGACCTTTATTATGTCATACAAACATTTTATAAGGAATTCTAAGTTCATAGCCCATTTAAATCAAGTCATATAAGTTGTAAATGGATTGTACAAAGGGAATAAATTATAAGTAAAATCCTAGTATATTACACAACATTATGTAGTTAATTAAATGTAAAATTGTGTTGATTTGAATGATATACCTCTATTACATCATTTTCTCTGTACAGACACAACTGTTTGCTTTTAGTGGATTCAGTGGCATCATTGGGAGCTGCTCCACTTTTAATGGACCAACAAAGTGAGTGGAGAACCAGAGAAAAGCATGTTATTTACCATGTGCACAATAGAAATCTTTGCGATTTAAACCTTGTGGAGTGGATTCAACCATTTGTGTACTACATAAATAATCTTTTTTTTTCTTTGTAGAAATCGATATCCTGTACACTGGATCCCAAAAGGCCTTGAATGCTCCACCCGGCACAGCGCCGATTTCATTCAATGAAAGAGCATGGTGAGGAGAGGTTTTTGTGAATGAATGAGTTTTTTTTATACACAAAATCATTCTAATAATTAGCTGATTCCACTAATGTTGTCCATTTTCTCTCCAATTCAATATAGCCAGAAGATGTTTAACAGGAAAACAAAACCAGTGTCCTACCTCCTTGATATGAACTATTTGTCCAATTACTGGGGTAATGATGGCAAACCAGACAGAATGTAAGTTTCTAAGCTAATCCATTTGTGTTCCTATTGTTCCAGTGTTTCCCAACCCTGTTGCTAAAGGCACACCAGCAATACACATTTTCAACTTCTCTTAAACCAAAAACACCTAAATCAACTCATTAAGGGACTCCAAAACCTAAAATGATTGGTTAAGATAAGGGAGACATCCAAAATATGTATTGTTTGTGTGCTTCCAGGAATTGGGAAGTTGGAAAACAGTGGTCTAGAGCAGAGGTTCCCAATCTTTTTTTTTTGCCTGAGGCCCTCTTTTTCCCCGGAAAATATTGTAAGCCCCCCCTCCACATTTAATGATATTGTCGCTCAAACAAGTTTGCAGTAATAATGACAAAAAAAATGTTTTCAAACAAACGTTATGTTTATTACTATATCTAGATATGGTTATGCACAAATAAAAGCCTAATGTAAAATATAAAAGTAAAACATCAGTAGGTCAATTTTAACTGAAAAAACGTAAGGCTTTGTCCTTTAAATTGGCCTATTTTGAAATTCAATGACAAAAATATCAGTATTTACACTGGTGTATAAGGGAAAAAATAGGCTATTACAATTTAATACTTGCAGGTTATTAGTTATGCTCTACCAATTAGTTTGAGATTTGCTGCGAGGCGAAACAGTGAGACTGTCTTTTGTGTGGAAGACGGATTACAAATTTGTACAAATTTGGTCAGCTAGGGCAGTGGTTCTCAATAGGGATGGGAAGATTAATCGATATGTATCGATACGCGGTCATGCGCGTGCACGATGTGAGTGCATCGGTTGAGCAGCAGAGGATGAATGAAATTTTGGAAGCAAATCGAGATGCATCGGTTTTTGCGAGATGCATCGGTTTTTCCGAGATACGGCTTATTTTTTTAATATAGAATGTATTTTTTATTTATTAACAAGTGTTGTCAACCTGTTTTTGGCGCATAATTTAATCGACCTACATAAAGTAAGCCTTAGCAACGGATTTGCGGATGTGTACACTTACACTACAACTCAGTGTATCAGGTGTGCGGATGAAGCTAGTGGTGCGCCCTCAGAAAGCGCGAGAAGCAAAACAAACATTTTATTCCCCACTTAGTTTTAAATCTAAAGTATGGCAACATTATGGATTTAAGGATGGACGACTTGACAGGACAGATGCAATTTGCAAAATGTGCCGCGCATCTATAAAATACGCGGGCAGTACGACTAATCTGAAATCTCACTTGAAGCGGCGCCACGGTGTTGTTGTGAAAGCATCTTCCAGTGTTCCTACATCACCGGCTTTCGCACTGCTTGAACTGTAGCTACCAACTCCAAAAGTGGTGAGAAAAGCATTGCAAGTTTTTTTTTTCCATGCGCAAAAGTTTTGTGCGCTCTATGCCAATAACGGATGTTATTGCATTGTTCATCTGATGGGCCGGAGCAAGCTGAACTGCTGCTCTAGGCAGAGGACGATCACGCCGCCCTCAACCCCAATGTGAAAACGAAAGTGACCGGTTATGAAAATGAAGTGACGTGTCGCGGACCTCTATTCTGCCGCCTTATGCGCGGATATAACTGAGGACGCGCGGGTGTCGCGGACCTCTATTCTGCCGCCCTATGCGCGGAAATAACTGAGGACGCGCGGGTGTCGCGGACCTCTATTCTGCCGCCCTATGCGCGGATATAACTGAGGACGAGCGGGTGTCGCGGACCTCTATTCTGCCGCCCTATGCGCGGATATAACTGAGGACGCGCGGGTGTCGCGGACCTCTATTCTGCCACCCTATGCGCAGATATAACTGGGTGTTGCGGACGCCGCCCTCTCTATACTGCCGCACTAGGCGGTTTTAAACACCTCCTCCTGTTAATTTTTATTTAATTATAATAATAATAATATTAATAATAATAATAATAATGATAAAAATAATGGGTGGCACAGTGGGTAGTTTGACCACCTCACAGCAAGAAGATTGCTGGTTTGTTATATTTTTATTAGCCTGTTGTTTACAGTGACAGTGATGTTTCAAAGCAGTATAACACTGCTAGTTCACGACCTTAAGTTTTGAATAATCAGTGGCAAAATATATCTTTGTAAAACTTGTTTTCATAGTTGAAAAGTTAAATCACAATTCTTGTTGTGCAATGGTAATCCTTTATGTTGAAAGAGTGCAAATATATATATTTTAATATATATTGCACTTATACATTCTGTTTATCTTGAAAATACTTAAATAATATGTGCTATATGTTCTAAAATGGCCCTCTACTGTAAACTGACACTCTGGCTCTGAGAGAAGAGCCAGTTTGTAAAAAAAGTCTTGGTTTTGCTTGGTTAATAAATAATCAAACTCATTCAATGGCACAGCATCCTCTTTTACATAATCTCATAAACTTGATTTAATTAGTTAGTGCTGAAATATCGCATCGTATCGTGATATGGGTGTGAATCGTATCGTGTCGCATCGCAATATGTCATAAATGTATCGCTAATATATCGGATCGTATTCTTTGTATCGAGATGCGTATCGGATCGGCATTATTGCTTAGATGCCCAACCCTAGTTCTCAACCTTTTGATCACCACAGACCGGTCAACAACGCTTGTGCAAACTCTAGAACTATGCGATTTGCTAACGGCCCCTTAAAGGCTGTCGTCATTTGTGATCTCCATCAGTTGATCTTCTTGCACAGACATGGTGCATTCTCCTGATTTGTTGACAAATGGGTTGCAAATCCATACCTTGGCAGTTCGTGGGGGATAAAATGAACCAAGGGAACATGATTATTCTCCTAATTGTCCACTGCTACATTTTTTTTTAAATATAACGTGACCACCCATTGAGCTCGCTGAGGCCTCCGTGTGGGCTGGGACCCCCTGTTGGGAAGCACTGGTCTGGAGTATTGAATTAAGGATTGTCTAAAAACTAACTACGTTTCAGATACCATCACACAGGACCTGTGTCTGGTTTCTTTGCCCTGAGGGAAAGTCTAGCCATCCTTGCTGAAACGGTAGGAGATTTCCTCATATTTTACTCGATATTTAAACATTTAACACCAAGCTGGTCATAATTAACTCATAGCGGGTTAAATATTTACACTAAAAGTCTTCTACTTTTTTTTGTCAGTTGTATTTTTGTTTAAACAATAACTAGGCTTAGATTTCCGGCATTTATTATAAACGTATTATACTGTACACACTCCCAGCTTTCTGTAGATTTTCTTTCTTTTTTTCTTATGCTCACTAAGGATATTTTTTAAGGTTTTATAAACTTTTTTTTTTTTTTTTTGGATGTAAAAAAAACAAAACTCCATGCCCTATATAAACATCCTGGTCATTTTAAAATGCAAAACTATCACATTTGAAAACCCCGAGCAAAGCAGCATCAATTATGATGTCTGAGAAAAGTACAAAATACAGATGGCAACTCATGATCCCTTTCATTATTATTAAAGAAAAAAATGCTGCCCGAAAATGTATAAATGTCTGCTTCAATTACCAGATAACGGTTACCAGTTTTTTTCAGTTTTAATGGGGAATAACAAATAATTGGCATGACTGAGTGATATAATAAAATGTAAATTATTCCTGTAACTCAAATCTGAACTCTCAGCATCATTACTCCTCATGATTAAGCATCTCATGATCCTTCAGAAAAGATTTCAATATACCGATCTGCTACTTAAGATGTTTTCTGAATGCTAATAAAAACAGCTTTGCTGCTTAGGCTAGTGTCTTTGTGCAAGATGACATTCCTTGTTTGAGTATATTTATGCAACATTAGAAATATAAAGTTTGATTCATTTAATGCATTCTTGCTAAATTTATTTACACTATATTTTCTGTTTTAGTGTTGTCACAATATTGAATTACGGTACCAATTGGTACTGACATTTTAAAAACATCCTTTTCCTGCTAACATTTAAGCGCTGTGAAATAACTGTCTGTCTGTATCTGCATTTGCACTCGGTAAACAGTGGTGAATTGTGGTGAACTGATGACCTTCATGGCCAATCACAGTCATTTCTGTTGAGCACATGAACACAATGGCAAATCAGCACCGTTTAAGTACGCGCTCAACATTGCTTAGATATTAGCCCAAGGTTCTTGCACCTTTTCCAACTTCAAACTCCGGAACTTTTCAAGCACTTTCAAGGTGCATTTGTATGCTTTTCCAGCACCTAATAACCATGGTTATTTACGTTTATATATGTTGTATGTACTTTTTCACATTTATGGCACGTTCCATTGTGCCATTTTAAAAAACACAATATGACATTTCAACTTAAATTCTTGAGTACTTTCGAGCATAGATTTATTAGGATAGTTCACCCAAAAATGATTAAAAAAATAAGTAAATAAATATAAAAAGTTCAGTTATTGGATGCTTTTAAGTTTGGTCCCTTTCTACTTAAAGTTTATATCTCACGAAATAAGCTTACAGTCAGATTTTGTTTGTGTGTAGTACCAAACTTTCATGACTAGTCGTTCATGATATTTTATGTGCACTGTTATTGTTTTTACAGTCATTGGATTGGTATTTCAGGTGCAAAGATGCATTAAGGGTGAATGTCTCCTGCATAGAAATGCATAGAAAGCTAATAGTGCCAAAACAATATGAATTTAAATTGTGTTAATTAGAATTCTTAAAAACTTAAAACTGTATTTTTACATACCCAGTATCTGCAGTCTTTGAATTCAGAACCAAAAAAATCAGTAGTTCTTTAAAATTCTGACTTAAATTAAGTTGTCTTAAACTTCAGATGTTCAATAATCAAGTTAAGAAATACAAATTCAAAAATTTCTAATAGCTTATAAATCAGTATTATTAACTTACAATTGTTAAGAATTCAGTTGAACACACTTCAAATTCAGATTGTTTTGGCTTATTATTAGCTCCATAAATACGCGCATGCGGTGAACATTTTGCAATGAAAACTGATCGCACGACAACAATTTATGCACTCGCACATATGCTCCTAAATATATTTTGAGGTCACATAGATAAAATCGTGCGAATATGCAATCAAAACAGTCACAATTTTGAGCCCTGCAAACTCAAATTCAAGCAGGTTCAAGCACTTTGTCCAAAATCAAAGCACTTTTCTAACCTTGAAAACACTATATTAAAAATCAAGCATTTTCCAGGATTTCCAGCACCCGTAAGAACCCTGTTAGCAGGAATCTTTGTTTTATTTTAGTACTGATTAATACTGAAATTCAGTATCATGACAACACCAATCTGGTTGCATTTATTTGAATAGTAATGCATATATATTACAAATATTTCCAACTAACTGGCAATTAGGACATTATTTAAAAAAAAATTAATGAGTAATATCTGATGTCACATTATTAAGAATTTCAAACGGTCTTTTCAAGGGTCTTGAGAACTCATGGAGGCATCACACAGAGGTCGCACAGCATCTCTGGAAGGGCTTGGAAGATCTGGGATTGAAGCTGTTTATTAAGGACAAGGTAACTTTGTTGTTGACTTTGCTTCACTAATTCTGAGAATAATGTACTGTACCCTAAAGAATGGAGTTAAAGATTACAATGTCTCAAAAGGATCTGAGATTGCCCTCAGTCACCACCATTGCCATTCCTGAGGGGTATAACTGGAAGGAACTGCTGGCTTACATAATGAAGCATCACCAGATCGAGTTTACAGGAGGACTCGGGCCCTCCGTTGGCATGGTGAGCAAAAGCTTTTTAACAATACGCAAGCGCATGATGATGCTTTTAACCACACGGAGGAATGATTATCCAATGCTCTGACTTTTAGGTATTGCGGATTGGGCTCATGGGATACAACTGCAAAAAGACCAATGCTGATAAGGCTCTTGCAGCTCTTGAAGACGGTTTAAAGCAGTGTCGAAAAAGCAAAGCCTAAAGACCTGCAATTTTTGCTGTATTTTGTGATGCTTGTAGTATAAAAATGGCCTGCTGATGTAAATGAAGAGCTATTATATTTAATGTGTTCATAACAGTTGCTGTAATGGAGCCTATGTTGATTAGAAATTGTACATTATGACTCCATTTTAATCAAAACCAAGCTATTTTGAATGGTGCTTCTCATTGTCCTTTGTAACATTACAAGCATCTCTCCAGCACTTGAATGACCCTCCGAAAAAAAAAAAAAGAATTTATTGAGAAATAAATCATGAATATAAATTGAACATTTTGGTTCTACAGTGCAAGTTTATTTGCATAGTAAACAGTGCTACGTATTCTCATTCTTGACAATGAGAAACAACATGACAAAGGTGTGTAAACAACATTTACCAATTTTAAATTGATGAAAAATTAAGTGCTTTGAGATTTGCTGTTTTTTTTTTTTCATTTGGAAACGTTAAAGCCCTTGAAACTCCACAACAAAACATTTCAGATATCTCCATCAACAAAGAGCAAAAAATAAATAAAATAGGAAAATAAAAATATTCTAAATGATCTTCGAGCTCAAAGCACAATCAAAGTCATTCACCCCCAAAAGTGCTTTTTCACTTTGGCTACTGAGAACACAGTAAACAACTGCACCAAGAAGAAGTGCTGGAACTCCTCCATCCACACAAAGGTCATTTTGACCTTCCCCTCCGCGTCCTCATAAAGGATGATGAACTGCTCACCTTCGTACTCCACGTCCACCACTCTCGGATTACTGGACATCCTCACAGGTGAACTCACACACCAGAAGGGGCGCTGAGCCTCATCCAGGACTGTCAGAGTCATCATACAGCAACGCTAAAGGCAGAGGAACAAGTACAGAATGTTACGTTTCTCGGTGCAATTTAATCATAAAGTACAGTCACTAGTAGAGATGAAATAAAATGAGATGGAAGGAAGAATCATACTTTGAACCCAAGAACGTTGTGTTCATTCACAATGTTTGACTGTATGTATAATATAAATAATATGAAGGAGGAAATTTAATTTATCACTAAAACAGTGAAATATAAAGTTTTTCAGGGGAGAGCAAGTGATTTACAAAAAAACAATGTACGCAAGGAAACACACACAAAAAAAAAATGTTTTAGTGAAGTTGAATGATGATGAATGCATTTGCACAAAAACACAAACACGTTTGAAACAGAACTTTCACCAAGAAAGTTTCACCAAGAAACTCAAATATTTTGCCAAAGAACTCAAATGTTTTGCAAGAGTATGTCAGTGTTTTTCTATCCTGCAGGCTCTATCTACTGGACATCGTTAGTTTGGAATACACTACAGCCAAAATAAATAAATAAATAAATAAAAATAAAAATAATAAAAAAAGAACTGTACAATCTTGGTATGAGAGAGACTGTATCAAATCTTTCAATCCTGAGTTTGTACCTATTACTACAGTATTATGGTTTTTATTTTATTTTACTTTTTTGTTGGGTGGATCTCAGGCTGTTCAAAAATAAAAATGTTTAATAAATTAAAAAATTTTTTTTTTTATGTTTTAATAAGAATGAGAATACAAAGTTTCTTTTGGGAACACGATATGGTTGTGCTACGTCCCAACCACACTAGGGTTAGTGGGAGCAATAACAAGGTATAAATTAAATTTAGAAATAACAAATATAGGGTTTACCCCCTCTCATCCCCAGCTCAAAATAACCTTAACAGGTATTTAGCAAGCAATAACAATATTTATTTTCAAACTAAAGTTCCTGAAAGCATTTCTTCAGAAGGGAATCCAGGCCAAAATAATAAACAAAAAGACAAATAACTTGTGGGGAAATAATACCTTACTTACCTGCTAAAACAATGAACCCTAAACAAAAATCTCACTTTTTCCCCTCGCCACAAAACAGGAGAAAATGGGATTTCAACCTACTGCTTCAACTCTCAAACAACAACGACAAAAAAGAAAAAGAAAAAAAAAAGTGTAATAGAATTAAAAAAGCACACAGGCTCGAATGAAATAGGGCGAGCAGTTAGGAAAAAACTTTGTAAACTAATGAAATGAGTCAGTCACACAACACCAATACAACAGATAATGTGGGACATTATATAACGATGGTTTGTTTTGTAGACTATCGAAAAACAATATACAGTAGCTTAAAATGGGCTAATAATTTACCATAAAGGGCACATAGGTTACCCCTTTTTTCATATTTATTATAAGTATTTTGTGTCCCCAGAATGTGTCTGTAAAGTTTCAGCTCAAAACACCCATCAGAGTATTTATTATAGCTGTTTGAAGTGTCTTTAATATAGCTGGGAAAAGGTTGTTGTTGGTTTTTTTTTTTTTGCACTGGGCCTTTAAGGCTAGTCATCCCTACCCACCGTTCCCACGTGCCTGTCAGCAACATGCCTCAACACGCCTTCGGCTGCCTCAGGAAGCAGATCTCACGTAACATATGTGAGAAATACTACAGTGAGGACTTTACCAATCAGTATCTGATGCGTTTTTTGTGGAGTTGCAACCATGAGTTCACGCACACACAGCGTAGACACGCAGACACACACACATTGCACAGACACGTAGCGCAGACACACACATGCACATACATAGTGTAGACGCACACACACACACACGCACACACGCACACACGCACACACGCACACACGCACACACGCACACACACGCACAAAGCATAGACATGTAGTGCAGACACACACATACATACATAGAGAGAGAGTGAGAGAGACACGCGGCTGTGCTGATGAAGTGAATCTGAAGTGAATCGCTGTACTTCAAACACGTGCACACGTTTTAAAACATGTTAAACTTGTAAAACTCACTCTTGATCACGTCTGAAGATGATTGATGATCCTAGCAAATTGAACAGACCTTTTATTCCCGGTTGTTTTGCGCTCGTCCTGTCTTGTCGATATGAGTATATGCATTACTACGGAGACATGTTAATGTGCGCAGCTGTCAATCAATATTGGTGGGCGGGGGGACCGCACTCCTACGTAAAGTTGCGGTCAATCTATATTGTTATGTTGTGAAATTTAAAAGAAAAAAAGGACTGGGTGTGTTTATTTCACCCCAATATGACAGTATATACACTATACTTACACACATGTATATCCAAACAGCTTGAAAAGTAGATTTTTTACCATAGGTGCCCTTTAAAATGGTTTTTAAAAATTAATTTTTAACCATAAAGCTTTTATTCTAGCTAAAATAAAACAAATAAAGAAAGAAAAAAAAAGAAAAAACATCAGACATACTGTAAAAATGTCCTTGCTCTGTTAAACATCATTTGGGAAATATTTAAAAAAGAAAAGAAAATTCAAAGGGGGCTAATAATTCTGACTTCAAATAAATATAAACCAAGATATATATATATATATATATATATATATGTATATCTCGCCTCACAGAAAGAAGGTCGCTGGTTCGAGCCTCAGCTGGTATTTCTGTGTGGAGTTTGCATGTTCTCCCCATGTTGGCATGAGTTTCCTCCGGGTGCTCCGGTTTCCCTCACAGTCCAAACACATGCGGTACATGGGAATTGGATAAGCTAAATTGTCCGTAGTGTATGTGTGTCTATGAAAGTGTATTAATGTTTCCCAGTGCTGGTTAGCAGCTGGAAGGGCATCCCCTGTGTAAAACATATGCTGGATAAATTGGTGGTTCATTCCACTGTGGCAACCCCAGATAAATAAAGGGACTAAGCCGAAAAGAAAATCAATGAATATGCATCGAAGATGTTGACAGATGTTTGATATCTCTGCCTCTGTTTATTTCACTTTTGCACACATTACATACAGTATCACTTTGTTTTATCTGCAGCACCACTGACTGTAAAATGCTTCCACACAGAACTTGAGCAAGTTTTTGGCTGGTGGAAGACCAAAAAAATGGCTCAGCAGCAGCCTCACTCTTTTCTATTTGGCTGTCCAAATCCATGTGAGGAGTTTCAAGTTAATAAGTGACGGGAAGCTATGCTAAGGCTAACAAGCCTATAGCATATATCTTGCTGTCTGCAAAAGACAGTAATGTAAACGTACCATATAACTCCCAAACTAATAATTAATAGTAATAATACTTTACATTTATATAGCGCTTTGCTGGACATTCAAAAGAGTTGACATTTTTTAGGGGGAATCTTCTCACCCAAAACCAGTGTGCAACATCCACCTGAATGACGTGACGGCGGCCATATTAAGTCAGACCACACATCAGTTGATTGGTGGTTAGGAAGCCATGATGGACAGAGGCAAGTGAGCAAATCTGGCCAGAATGCCGGGGTTAAACCCCTATTTTTTTTCGAAGGCTATCCTGTGACCTCTGTTTAACGCTGCATCCGAAAGACTGCACTCACTGAGCAGTATAAAGTCCCCGTCACTTTACTGGGGCGTTAGGACCCACACAGACCGCAGGTTAAGTGCCCCCTGCTGGCCTCACTAACACCATTTCCAGCAGCAGCCTAGCTTTCTCATGTGGTCTCCCATCCAGGTACTGACCAGGCGCAGCCTTACTTAACTTCAGTGGCGGACCACAAGAGAGTTGCAGAGAGCTAGCTGCCAGCAAAACACAGTACAGGCATTTAGCACAGTTAATAGTGAAATCTAATCGGTTATTCATTGCTCCCTACACCTCACAGTGCTGTAACTTGCTCTACAGAATACTTGTGCAAATTTAATTCATTCAAAAAGTGTTTTCTTTGAGCAGGTACAATTAAAGGTTCAATTCCAATATCTGACTGCCTGTGTTAAGACAAAATTGTATTCTTGTAAAGTAAAATTGTGGATAAAAAGCATTATCAATACATTGTGCTATCTAACTGATAAATGTTACCGAACCAAGAAAGCAGTGCGCACAGAAAAACAGCAAACAAGTTCTGAATGAAATTTGCAGTTAATACACAGATCATGTCTCCCAAACCAAGGGGCATGGTGAAATACTCTAACAACCCTAATGAATAATAAACACTGGAAATCTATCTAGTAAGCCATTTTGACTCGACTGTTCCCCATTTACACACAGCTTAATACCTAGTTCTCTATTTATAGACAAGATCTAAAAATAGCCAGCCAGCACAGATTAACCAGTCTGAAGCCTAAAAGTGGCCAAACAGTATGAATCAGGATGAATCGCATGTACAATACCTCAACATTTCCCTTCAGTCCCTCTGCTTGCCATGGTAGACAGATCCTCACCACAGGCATGTGTTCGGAAGAATCAGAGAAATCAACAGCGTTTAGCTGCACATACTCTCCTTGCAACCCCACTAAA